ATTTTCGGAGGTTGAGCTTTCAGCCACTACACCCTGAATCTCTGGAACACTCACACTCAATTCCCCTGCTTTGCCACCTCTCTCCCCCTTTTCAAATCTGCCTGAAAACTTTCCTTTTCACCTCCCTCTCCCCACAGCTTGGAGTCAGGCTCCGCCACTGTTAAGCGCTCTGAGACAATACCCTGCATGGAGGGTGCTATATAAGTGCAAGTTATTGTTGTTGTTTTATATCTAGTTTCTCTGTTTGTTTCTTAGCTCTCCAGCATTCTCAGCTGGTCCCTTCAGTCTGACAAATGCCTGTTATGAAAACCTTGTTTCTGTATTCCTGCTCGCATTACTCTGAGGGATGCACATCTTAAAATGATCTGAAGGTTTCAGATTAGTTGTCTCTTGATCCGATGACTGAACATTGCACAAACAACAAGACTGAAAGCATTCCAGATATCTTGGTTGGTTTTTGTTTTCTTATGACTTAGGAATGCTGTCCATGCGGACCTTCGTGCCTTTGGAGCCATTAGTGGAATATTCCTTTCCTCTACAGGTTTGCCATGGAGCAGAGCCTGGAAACGATTGACCTGGTGTTGAAAGTCTGTTCTATATTTAGCAAACTATGTAATTGAAGGCAAATAGTGTTGCAGATAAGGCCATCGTGGAATGTCTTCAATGGCGTGAAAAATAACCCAGTAATTGCCACTGCCAGTAGGCTTGTCTAATAAGTTAGTCCATTTGTGGCCAACCTGTGGCCAGTGGGCCAGTTCTGGCCCATGGGGCCATCAAGAAGTTGCCTCCCAAAAATTGGCAAGAGTCTAGGTAAGTCCGTGTCCAATTAGTACAGTGTTTTCAGTGTTTTCTTGATTGAATATTTTTGAATTTATGGTATAAATCAAGATATATTCGATCAAGAAAATGTATTTTGTTGGCCGACCGTGACAGTTGGCCACCACTGAGTTAGCCAAATCGTCTTGTGGTGTATCAACACCTGTTTTGTTCTTACAAGCTTTTCTTTCAATGTATAAATGTTCCATGTCAGAAAAGAATACTGTTTTGAATTCTCAGATGAACATTCGGTATCCTGCACAGACAGTAGTGGAGAGGTTTGTGCGCAGGCATGCAATCAAGGCAACGCTCTGAGACTCTCTTCTGTGTGAAGGGCACTATATCAATGCAAGTTGTTGTTCTAGTGCGACATATCCTGATTCTAGAATACTAGTAAAAAACATTTTCTCCACAGGAATGAAGTGTATGGAAAGTATAACTGAAACAATAATTGTATTTAAAGTCAGACTGTTCTTCCATACACCCTCCTGCCCAACCCTCTATAGTAATGGATTCTGGCCAAGCTGATTGCATGTCCTACTGAAGCTTTTTGTGCAACACATGTAAGAAAACAAAAAGAAAGCCTAGAAAATCAGGAATTCATTCTGCATGAATAGCTGCATAAATAATCAGGAAACAATTTTAAATGTAGAACACCTGTGGATTTGACAAATTCCCTGGTTGTTAGCTCTCTGAACTGGACACTGGGGACGTGTCCTGGCTTCCAACACTTGGCTGTTACTTGCTATCGAAGTAAAAGCCAGTGTTGCTATCACTGAAATTGGGAATATGGAAGTGCCGTTAACCTAACACGGTCTTGACATAATCGCAGCAAAATATTCTGCAAAAATTGTAAGCACATTGTACAAGGAGTCTTACAGGAACGGCTTCAATGCAAGTGTTTATTAGAACCAGGTGGTCAAAATTGCCTTGAAATATGCAGTGATCAACGTTAGTGAAAGTTAAAGTGAAATCATTTAAGGAGCGTCAGCTACAATTAAAATCACAGAAGGCACTGTGGATCAATGTCCAGAATTTGCCTGAACAATTGACGTGGAAAAGTACTTTCTAATTTATATAGTCAATTTTTTGCAAATAGGATTATATTGACTTTCTCTGCATAACATTTCACACAAGCTTTGTTTTGGAACTGGATCCAAATGGGATCTTTTAAGCCTACTTGGAAGCCAATCTTCTGTCAATCCCGGTCCATCCGTTGCTAGGTGCCAAGAGCCTCCTTTGGCCTCAATCCAGCCTCACAAAATAGCTGTTGAGATCAGCATCCGATTGGAGTCCTGGTGAGTCACCTCTGGGTAGTTGGAGTGCTTGCATTCACTAATCAATTTGTGAATCTCATAAATTACACTGTTTTATTCACAAAAGAAGTTCAGATGAAAAAGGCCATTTGTCCGATTTGATCTCATCCTATCAAGTACCCATCCCCCCATCATCACATCAAGGTGCTTCTTAAATCAATCCAACATCCTGGCCTCAACTATCCAGTCTAATTACTCTCTGGAAAAATAAACACTTCCTGGTATCTTCTTGATATTGCCTTTTACAACCCTAAACCTGTGCTCTTTATTCTGTTGCCTTTGCATATCTGAAAGCATTGTTCTGGGTTTACTTTCTCAATCCCATTGTACATGTGAAGTCCTGCAGCTTAGTGGTTAAAGCACTCACCTCGGAAGAGAGAGAAACTGAGTTCAATAGCCTGGGTTTGATTTAAAAAACAGAGCCCTTAATACCTCCCTTTCTCAACTAACTGTCTGTCTCTCCTTTAAATATCTCTATTGATTCCATCATAAAGCCTCTGGGTTTATATACCACAACGCTCTATGTGAAGGCATGCTTCCTGACCTCAGTTCTAACTATTTGTCTCTGATTTTAAGACTCTGCCCTTTGTAATGGATCCCTCTACCGTAGGGAAGAGTTATCCTCTATCTAACTTGTAGATTCCTTACATTATTTTAAATTCCTCAAACAAATAACCCCTTAATCTCCTCTTCGCTAAGGAATGTATTCCCCGGGGAACCCAGTCTCTCATGATAGCTCAGATCCTTGAGCCCAGGTATTAATCTAGTCAACTGTTTTTCAGCATTCGCCCAGGCTAGAATCTTCTTCCTAAGACTGAGTGTCCAACACTGAACACAGTACTCCTACGAAGTTCTGACAAGTTAAAATGACCTGTCTTCACATAAAGACTGAATTTAAGAATTTTAAATATTCTGCGCAATCTTAATTTCAAGCTAAAGGTCTCAAGGGTAAGACTGAGAAATATTGTGCCAACAAAGAACTTATGCTAAAAATTTGTATTAAACAAAACAACTAATGGAGGAACAGGAATGTATTTGTATGGTTTAAAGAACGTACGCTACACAGTATTGCAATGCATGTTATAAAATAAGCAGTGGCAGCTAATTGTGTGACACGTAAAGTATTGTGTGTTTGTGTGTGTTTGAGAGAGGAGGTGGGAAATAAAACAACTTATATTACTGGTTTTATTATGGTTCTCAGACAATCCAAACTTACCTAGTCCCAATGTGAGTTTTAAATTCCAACACAGGTTTGTGTGAATTTTAAGGCAAACGGCCACATTCTGTCCATTCTGCCAAATGTATTTTCCCAACAAGAGAAATAAAACATTTCTGACAGAATTTTCTTCAGAAGTTTTAGTGGGGTTACCCCTGGAGAAATGGCTGGGGAGGTAACTAGAGTGAACACTTGGAGTACTTCTGCAGACACAGCTGGAAAAAATTGAGAATCTTTATCCCAAATTCAACTACCTCAATTTACGTTGGCCGGTCCTCCTATCATTGTGAGTCCAAGTGCTTTCTGTGTGGGTGGCTGTGAACCATCAATGTTGGGAAAAGTGATACCCGGCCTCCACTTAATTTCGTTTAACTTGGCACTGTGCTCCCAAACAGAGGACCTCAGGGTAATCTTATTATGTAATTAGAACAGGGCCATTTAGAAAATATTGCAATTGTGTTAAACACGGTACATTTTACAATAGCAAATGACTCTTATGCTGAGATTGACTCATTCTGTGGAGTTATTGCATACTGGTTTTGATATTATGGAGTTCTTCCTCGCACTGTATAGCACATGCTTCCTCACAACAACAACAACTTGCATTTATATATAGCGCCCTTCATTTTGGGTAACATTTTGGATGCTTTACAATGACAGGGGATGGTGGCCTTGGGCACGGGGGAAGAGTTAGCTTTCAAGGTAGAACTTAAAAACAGAGAAGTGGCGAGACTGAGAGTTTGAGGGAGGGAATCCCAGAGGCTAGGGGTGTAGAATGTTAAAACATGGTCACCGATGGCACAAAGAGGGTAGGGGATATGCAGCAATCCCAAGTTAGCAAAACGGAGGGGGTGAGCAGAGGATTGGGTAGGAAACAATCAGAGAGATGGGGAAATGCCAAGCACTTCACCTTGGAGCCAGCTCAACTCCTAGAGACCATGTTCTCCAGCCCAGGAAGCTAGTTGGAAATCATCCCAAATAATCCCAGTGAACCTGTTTTCGTTGTTTTCATTAAGAATATATTGAGAAGAATGGATAGAGGGGTTACTGGTCAGGAATCTCAGTTTTTGATACAAATTATATCTTAATTGTGGTGCTGATCATATTGCACCTACTTGTAAGTCCCTGAGCTCCAAGACAATAGAATAAGAGGACACAGGTTTAGATTTGTAAAGGGCAATTTCAGGGCAGATACAATGAAGAATGTATTTACTTAGAGAGTAATTAATGACAAAGAACAGGTTGCCAAGAAGGGTGGTTGAGGCCAACACATTAGACTTGTTTAAAAAGCAACTTGATACTGCGATGGAAACACAGTAGGGTGGATGTTACAGAGGGATGAGATCAAATGGATCAAAGGGTCTTCCTCATCCCAGCTGTAGTCTTTTTGGATGTGTTGTTGAAATCGCATCAATCACATATCTCCTAGATCTTAGCAGTGAAATCTTTATAATGTTCCAACAGGTCACTTACTAGATTTATTTGTAGGAAGCATAAAAGGTATTACTGATTCCAACTTTGCATTTTTCTTCAGTGTGGTCCTTGGGGGAATGTGATGGAAGAAAAAGATTATGGTTTCCTTGAAGAAGTGAAACATAAGGAAGGTCCAAATTATAGTTCACTAACATTCATCTAATTACTTTTTATTCTAGCTTGTCCATCTGGAACTTACAAGCCTGAAGCAACACCGGGAGGCATCAGCACATGTCTGCCTTGCCCTGGGGAAAATGAAACGTCACCACTGGGAAGCACCTCTGTTACCGACTGTGTCTGCAAGGAAGGGTACCGAGCTCTTGGTCAGCTGTGTCAAGGTACGTCATCAGAATAATAACAATAATCCTTACATTTTGTACAGGGCCTTTCACATTGGGAGAGGTCTCAAAGCGCTTCACAGGATTTACTGTAAAGTGTTGTAATTCTGTATTTTGTAGGTGAATGTGTGCACAATGTTGAACAGCAACAGTTTCCAGCACCTAGCCATGAAGTGAATGAACATATTTTATTTGGGGGAATTGTTGGCCAACAACCTCTTTTCCAATGTTTCAATGGGATCTTTAAAGTCCACCTGAACAGGCAGATGAGATCTCAGTTTGATGTCTCATCCGAATCACCGTACCTCCAACAATGCAGCGCTCCTTAGCACTGTGAGCTCAAAGTCCCAACATGGGGCTTGACCCCACAACTTTCTGACTCAGAGGTGAGAGCCACTGAGTGGGTCAGGCTAATACCAACTGAGTTGCACAGAGAGCTAAATCGCTGTGGGAAAAAAATATATAATTGACTGTAATTTATAGTATAATGTTGAATTTAAACAACATTCAAAGTTGGCAATTTAATCCTGATAAAATAAAAATTCTGTTTAGTCAGTAATAATTATGGTCAGTAATAATGACGCTGGTTAGTAATGAGTTACTGGTTAGTTAGAATTACACCAGGCAGCAATAAGGATGCCATAGCGTTGATTCTTTTACTCCTGTTAATTTTTGTGAGCAGAATACAGAGATCAGTTTAACTCTTCCTTCAGCCGAGCGATGTGTTTTTCCATTAATTTCCAAAGACGTTTGGCAATTGCCTTGAAATTCCACCCAGCACAGGGATTTAAGAGATTGATCCGAGCAAAATTTGCAGCATTACATGAGATGGCCAAGAAACTGCTTGAAACCTTTTTGACTCCCAATTTGTAAAGAGCTTAAAAAATATTGAATGCAGCTGCCATATACATTAGCGTTGGTTCAAATTGTGACCAACAGAATATCTGCATCCTGCAGTCACAGATGGAGAGTATAACCTACTATTTTAAAGATGTTGCCTGAAATATTTGGGGGTTGTTTAAGGCAATGATGTTGAAGATTTTTGAGTTTGGGGGAATGTCATTAATGTTTTCGTAAATGTTTTTTAAGTAATCTTTGCATTTAATGTAGCACCTTATCGTGTTTTGATGTCTCAAAGCACTTCACATGATTTGCTATACAGTGTAGTGACTATGTATCCGTAGGTAAATCAGCAGCCAATTTGATCACAACAAACCTGGCTCATAGCCCGGGGCATCATCATCTTGGATTCCCACTTAGATGAGCCCATTTTTGAGACTGAGAACAGTCTTTCTGAGTTTATTCAAGGAATATTAGTCAATCTTCATCTGAGTCAGTGCAACATCTTGTGAATACGGTGCAATCCAATTTACATTTCTATAGTGTGTTTCATGTTAGGAGGATGTTTCAAAGCGCTTTACATTGTCTGCTGTGTACCTGAGCTTGTCGAGGGGCGGGGGTGAAACCAAAAAGGGTGGGGAGATGAAAGATGACCGAAAGTGTAAGTAAAAAGGTATCAATTCCTGAGAGGCATTTTGCGTACTTGTAAATTGCAATGGAAATCTTGCCGAATTCTACAAACCTGAAATTTTTATTCACAAGTGCAGCAGAATGGCGGGGAATCTAATGTATTAATATGTTAATTGTGTGAACGAGCAGTGGTCCAGTGTCCTGAGCTACAGCCACCTCAGAATGGTTACTTCATCCAGAATGTCTGCAACAACCAGTACAACGCTGCATGTGGCATTCGATGCAAGGTGGGCTTCGATCTCTCAGGAAGTAGCATTCGCCTGTGCCAATCCAATGGCCAGTGGTCGGGTTCAGACCCCAGTTGCCGAGGTGAGCACTAAAAAAATAAGTCTTTCAATGTTAAATTAATTCACATTTTGAGTATTGGATCTTTAGTTTAGCCTTTCAGTCCCTTTCTTTTAAACTAATTGCAGTTTGGGGGATTTGAAATACCTGATGACTTTTGAATAATGTGAGGGTTCATTCGTAGAATAGAAGGACCTCTGGTCAGGATTAGCACCTCAGCAGCAGCTTATATGTCAATAATAATAATAATCCTTGCATTTGATATAGTGCTTTTCACGTCTTCTAGACGTCTCAAAGCATTTCACAGAATATATTGTAAAGTGAATTGACTGTATATTTGTGGGCGAAACGTGGCAGCCAATCTACATTACCTGATCTGACTGAATGTTCAGGTGAGTGTCCATATCAAAATACAACTTACAAAAGGAAATAAATAGATGCATTCTTCAGTGAAATAGTAGGGCTGGCTTTTCTCAGAAACTTTATAAACTAATAATAATAATAGTAATAATAGTGTCTTCATATCAGGAGGATTCACTGTAAAGTGTATTGTCTGTGTATTTAGGGGTGAACATGGCAGCCAATTTGTACAGGGCAATGCTCCCCCAAACAGCCATGGAGTGAGTGACCAATTTTATTTGGGAGATTTTTGGTTAGAAAACCGGGAGAAACTCACTTCTCGAATATTGGCACAGGATCTTTAACGTCCACCTAAGCAGGCAGACAGGGACTCGGTTTAATGTTTTATTCGAAGGAACACAGCTCTGACAATACAGCGCCCTCCCAGCTTTATAATGGAGTTTTAATGAATGTCATTATAACCATGAAAGGACCATTTCATTAACACCAATCTATTCTTACAATTAATATTCCTATACTCTTCCCACCACCACCACCCATGCCCCCACCACCCCCACCCCGCACCCCAGCCAAAATAAGGAGAACAAACACTGTGCAGAAGCGAATTTTTGTGCAAACAGATCCTCAGCAACAGTGCAATGTGATCTTTATCTATGGTTCATCTACTGACAGTCTGATGCAGTGATAACCAGCAGGTTAGAGATGGGACAGATCGTACTAGGGCTGTTTAAACTTATGTCTGCTCTTGTGGAGCCTCCAGTCTATTGACTGCTGTTTCTTTATAATACACAGTCCGTACGTGTCCCAGGTTGCGGAAACCTGAGCATGGCTTTGTGAACTGCTCCACAAACAGCCCCTCCTACAAGACAGTTTGCCACGTGACCTGCAATAAGGGCTATCGTTTGGAAGGAAGAGCAAAACTCACCTGTTTGATCAATGCCCAGTGGGATGGGAAGGCACCACGATGTGTTGGTAAGTCTAAGTCCTGCAGGTTACACTCGAGAATTCGTCACTAGATAAACAATTATTTTGTTCTGCAAATAACCAACCTTAACCATAGGTCGTTATGTTTGGTGGGAAACCCATCTCAGCAAATTATGTATTTACTGAAAGGATATTGTACTTAAAGAAATTCATGACATGAAGCCTAAAGCTCTTAATAATCCTTACATTTGATATTCTACATTTCACATCGAGAGGACGTCTCAAAAGTATTTCACAGCATTTACTGTAAAGTGCAGTCACTGTGTGTTTGCATAGGCAAACATGGCAGCCAATCTGCAATTACCAATTTCCCACAAACAGCCAAGAAGTGAATGATCAGTTTTATCCAGGAGATTGTTGACCAGCACACTGGGAGAAACTCCCTTCTCCTTTTTGAGTAGTGCCAAGGGATCTTTAACATTCACCTGCACATGCAGTTTAACATCTTGTCTGAAGAACAAAATTAATCTCCCTTGTGCTCAGTGGTAGATAGCAAATTAAAATTGATTGTCATTTTATTAATTTGTTTTACTCTCTAAAAGTTTGCGAACTTCTGTTTTTTTGCATCAAACTGTATTCATTTCTCCCTTTAAGTCTGTTTTCAAAACTAAAAGCTGAATCTTTCCCATTCTGGCAGAAATCCATTGCTCAGCCTTGCGAGGTCCGAAAGGTGTAATTGTGTCGCCGCACGTTTGTGGGAAAGCTGCGATAAAACCGGGCACCTTGTGTCAGCTGAGCTGTCACCCTGGTTACAGCCTGTCAGGAGTGACCAACGTACGGTGTGCAAGTAATGGCAGGTGGAGTGCGGGACTGCAGAAAGCAACCTGTAAAGGTACTAGATTGAGAGGCTTCCCAATGGCACCTTCATGGCAAGGGGAGAGTTTGAGTTCTGGAACGCTACGACAGTTATCTAATTAAAAACAGGATGTCACAGCTCTCTGACGTACTGAGCTGTTACATGATTTAAACAGAGTAGAATATATTCCCCAGGGTCAGTGAAACAGCTTTGCGCCCGTACAGTGAAAGTCCATAATGCATGAATGTGGAGCCACAGTGCAGCGCAGGACAATATATATATTCATGTGATTAAAAAAATGTGATACACAAGCATGAATCATTCGCTCCGACAAATGTTAACACTATTCCAGTATTATTAGTCCTGGTGTTAAAAGCCATCGGAAAAGATAAAATTTGAATAGGAACAGATTGTTTGGAAACTGTCACCTACATTGTTGCAATGCAGCCCAAGATAACTACAGTCAACACAAATTGTATAGCCTCTGCTTTATTATTTATCTTTCTGATGTATAATTCCTATGAAGATGATAATTCCCAGCGCTTAGTTAATCATAACCTGAAAATACTGCAGATGTTGGAAATCTGAAACAAAAACAGAAGTCGCTGGGTTGCTTTGCATTATTAACACCGTTTAACCCATCATCCCCTGTCCTCTACCCCACTTTCTCCTTTGTCTTTGTTGCCCTGCCTTCCCCCCTCTCTGTTAGCCCTTACAAGCCTTTCCCTCCCAACATGCCCCAGTTCGGCCAAATGGTCGTGAACCTGAAACATTGACTCACTTCTTTTCTCCATAGATGCTGCCTGACCTGCTGAGTGTTCCCAGCGACTTCTGTTTTTGCTCAGTTAATCCGGTTGATTGTTCTTTAGTGTAAACGAATGTCATTTGTTTTTCCATGTTGTTTGAAATGAAATGAAGATAGTGCTTTTTTTGTCATGTTTCCTTCATTAGACATTGACCCACCTCAAATCAGGTGCCCAGAGCCTATTGAAACAGAGACTTTGCAGCACCAGAAAACAGCGAATATCAGCTGGGAGATACCGGAAGCACATGATAACTCTGGCGATGAGGTAGGAGCAGTGCTTTCACCTCTGGTGTTACCCCCAGATAAACCATTCAACATCCAACTAGCTTAATGTGTATCATACTCTCATATTGATCTCATCTTTCTCTGACCAACTCTTAGTTCTTATTGTGATTTTTTTAAAAAAAGCTCCACACTCCCATTAGTGACATCTATCTTCAATTTGAATTTGCTCGTACAGTAGTTAAAAGAGGTCTAATATGCGGATTGGGCTAATAGCCCATAGACCCATGCAGGGGCCTCTCAGTATATAATTAAAGGATTTCAGTATTACATGTGGTTCGCTTCTTCACAGTTATTTCTATGATTAAAGGCACCTCACGAGATTGGTTTGGATGAGTAAATCCCTTCATCCCATTTGATCTGATTTTTTCAGAATAATTAGCCTACTGTCCTCCAATTACAACGTTAGGCTGTTTTCTTTTTTTAAAAAATGAGTCAGTGTTTGGCTTGCATGGGATTCACCATGGTTAACTGTTAGCTCAAACCATTTTAGACCCCAATAACTGTTAGTAACATGTCTCTTTTGTCTGTCAGTGATGCTATACCTTCAATATAATAAATGTGTAACACATAAATTCTTAGACGACATGTTGGAATCCTGTTTATTGGTCAAATGAACTTGTATATTTTAATTTGATGTTTTGGATTGCCTGATTTCTATGTGTTTTTAGATATGAGACTAAATACTGGAGCACTATTAATCTTTACTATACAAAGCCTATGATAGCTATTCATATATATGTATACTGCTTACTTTAGTATTCATATAAGTATCACATAATGTGAATTGCCTTTTACCCAAATAGTTAGATCGTGGTTAAAACTGCAAACCTGTCATTTAAACTATTTTTTCATTGAGCCATCCAGGTGTCTCTGCAAGTCATCCCTGCTTTTGTCCCTCCTCACCTCTTCCCAATCGGCGAAGTCACCATCACATATATAGCAGTGGACAAAGCGGGAAACAAAGCAAGCTGCTCATTTAACGTAAGAGTTATTGGTGAGTAGTCACAAGGGTTTGTTACTGGTAAGAAGTCATTATCTTTCCATGTTCCCACCAGTGATGATAATTTATCCTCCATGTAGAGCCCCTTAAATTACATCCAATGTGGAAGACTCAAGGATGTCCTCTGTGCCCCAGAGAAACCAAACACTCTGCTGGAAACACCTTAGTTTCAAAACTATGTGAAGAAATGGTGACTGACCATTCTGATGTGAAAGCTTCCCATTACAGACTGATGGCCATTGAGCATGGTTGGTGTGTGGATTGCCATCTGATCTCTTGGATGATCCTATCTTCCAGAATATACAGACTGAACCTGACAAGCTCTGTATCATTTTGAAGCTGCCCAGAAGAGCTTTCTGATCAGACAGCAGTGTGAAAGAATGATTAACCTTGGTTGGAATGGAAGCAACTTAGTGAAGGCATGCCTGAAATATCATACATGTAATATATACCTCATGTTAACTTATATGAATATAAGCATACAGGGACAGGAGAAGACCATTCAGCTTGTCAAGCCTGTTCCATCATTTCATTAGATCATAGCTGATCTGCAACTTAATTCCATTTCTCTGATTCCCACATTTCCAAAACCCTTTGTGTGCAAAAATAAATAGAAACTTGCATGCATAGCTTTGTTACATAATATTTGTCGAGCACATGTTATGCATGCACATGAGATAGCAAACTCTGAAAGCATATAGAGACAAGACTCTACTTTCACTGCTTAAAAATCATTTATTTGTCAATGAGCAGTCCATACATTAAAGTATAATCCAACTGGATCTGCCACCTTCAGATTTACTTGCTTGAAATTAAAATAAAAATACTGGAGAATCATTAACCTTAAAGGTTAGCTGTGAACAGTTTGAAAAGTGGTTGTTCTCTGTAATATACAATGTGACACTTGACAGACACATTCATTCACTTAAAGGAGCTTCCCTGCTGTGGCAATGAAATGCAAACATCTGGATGTCAGACACATGTTCACGTATTGGCTTTTGAGTGCTAAATACCTGTTTGTATAACTCCCATTTGTAATTGAATCAAGCTGATAAAGGAAAATGTTTGCTTAGGGAACAATTTGTTTACATTCTTTAGATGTCGAATCCCCTGTGATTGACAGGTGTCGCTCACCAGTGCCTATCCTGACACACGACGAGGAACATCAGGTGACGTGGGATGAACCACAGTTTTCAGACAACTCAGGTAATGCTGTGTCCAGTGGACGCACAATGCCATTGGGACAGTGCTCAGCAAGATAGCGGAGGATGGGGAACTAAAAATGTATTTCATAACAGTTTCAATAATTATATCGAACAGTACTATAGACATTCTCAGAAATATTTTTTTCGACCATTAATGTGACTTCTACATGCTTTTCTAAAACACCCTTTTTTAAAAAAAAATGCTCCTTGCATTTGATATAGCAATTTATCACATCATCGAGATATCCTCAAAGTACTTCATAGGATTTTACTGTGAGTCTGTGTATTTGTTGCCAAAGTAAAATTCAAATTTGTTTTCTGTAATAGTCAGTTTGTGAATTACCTTTTGTTATCTGAAAGGAGAGTTTAGCTGTTGTAGCAATGAAACACAGGGTTCTGCAAATTGGCAACAACAACAAAATTACATTTATAGAGTGCCTTTCACGTTGGGAGGATGTCCCAAGGTGCTGGACAGTCAGGTCAGGACACGAGCATGGGGGAGGGGTGAGGGAAGTTAGAGAGATGGGAAGGCGACCAAAGACACGATCGAAGAGAAGGGTCTTGAGACCGGCCTTGAAGGAGGCAAGGGAGGAAGTGAAGTGAAGGGCCCATGGGATGGAGTTCCAGAGTGTGGGGGCAGAGAGACTGAAAGTCCGGCCACCGATGGTAGGGCGGGTCGGACGGGAGACATGAAGCAGACCAGAGCCCGCTGAATGGAGGGAGCGGGCAGGTTGGTAGGCAGTCAGCAGGTCAGAGAGGTAGAGGTAAGTGAGGGTGAGGATATTGAATTCGATCCTAATGAGGGATGGGGAACCAGTGGAGTCGGGCGAGGGTGGGATTGATGGGGTCACGGAGCCTGGTGCGTGAGAGTACATGAGCTGCAGAGTTTTGGATGATCTGCAGCTTATGAAGGGAAAAGTTGGGAAGGCCGATGAGGAGAGAGTTTCCATAATTGAGACTTGATGTGACGAATGCATGGATGAGAGTTTCAGCAGCCTGAGGGGTGAGGCAGTGGCGGAGTCTGGCAATGTTGTGGAGGTGGTGGTAAGCAGTGCCGGTCATGGCGCAGATGTGGGGAAGAAAGGACAATTCAGGGTCAAACAAGACACCCAGGTTCCTGACTGGCATAGTGAGGTTGAGTGTGCAGCTGTGGATGCTGATGCTGCCAGCGTCTGAGGTGCGGAGGCGCTGGCGTCAGCCAATCAGGAGGCCCTCGGTCTTGCTGACGTTCAATTGGAGAAAGTTGTCCCTCATCCAGGACTTGATGTCGGACAGGCAGTCGGTCAGGATGCCAGTATTCCTGGAGTTGAGGGTGGAGGCAGAGAGATAGAGTTGGGTGTCATCCGCATAAATGTGGAAATTTACCCCATATCTGCGGATGATATCACCAATTGGGAGCATATCGAGGGTGAAGAGGAGGGGACCAAGGACATAGTCCTGAGGAACCCCGCACGAGACGGTGTAGGGGCTGGAGGAGAAGCTGTTTGCAGAGATGAAGTGGAGGCGGTGTGAAAGGTAGGACTTGAACCAGTCGAGAACAGAACCTTGAAGGTTGAGGTGGGTGGAGAGGCAGTGGAGGAGGATTGAGTGGTCAACGGTATCAAAGACAGCGGAGAGGTCGAGGAGGACGAGAAGGCAGAGGGATCCCTGGTCACACATGGTCAGGATGTCATTTGTGACCTTTACCAGGTCACACAGGTAGGCAGCACAGAAACCCGATTGGAGGGGCATGGAGGGAGTGAGAGGAGAGGAAAGAGCGAAGCTGGGAGGCAATGGCTCTCTTAGATAAAAAAGGGAGGTGGGAGATGGGCTGGTAGCTCATAGATAGCTGTGATGGGTTTCTTCAAGGTGGGGGTGATAGTGGCTGTTTTGAGTGGGATAGGAACAGGGCCAGATAATGGAGTGGTTGATGATGTCGGCGAGTCGTGGGGCAAGGCGGTGGAGCTGGGATTTAAGGAGAGGGGTGGGGATGGGAGCAGGTGGTGAGCCTCATGGAGGATATGGTGGTGATGACAGAGGAGGGGGTGACAGGTTCAAAGGTGTGGAAGGAGGGATGGGTAGTGGTTGGTGGGGGGTTTAGGGAGGGGGTGAAAGTTGGAGGGGCAGCGGCAACTGAGCGGATTCCCTCGATTTTGGCTTTGAGGAAGTCCTGCATTTCCTCGCAGTGTGAGTCGGAGGAAAGAACCTGTGAGGTGTGGCGTGGAGGGAGGAGGAGCCGGTTGGTGGTGGAGAACAGGAGCCTGGGGTTGCCCTTCGCTTCCAGGATTAACCTGGAGTAGAAGGACCATTTGGCCGAGGCGAGAGCGGAGCAGTAGGTTTGATGTGGTCCAGCCAGATGTGCCAGTGGACTGTTATTCTGGATTCGAGCTAAGTGCGTTCGGCAGCCCACACCTGGCCCTTGAGCGGAGGTGGCTGGTGAACCAGGGTGAGAGTCGGGAATAGGAGGTAGTTCGGGAGCCAGATTCAAAGATATAACCAATGCTCAGTGATTGTCTCAAGCAGCTTTAGACTGAACCAATTTCAAGAAGTGTCAAGTGTTCAATTGGATCATCTTCAGAAGAGGAATGTCCATGGTGTAATTAATAACATCAATGTTATTTAAGATAGGAATGTCGCGTTGTCACCCACTGTGTTTGTGCAATGTCCTGTCTGTAATGCATGCAGATAGTGAATGGACATCTCATCTCTTGCAAAAAAAAAATATTTCCTGTCCTTCATAAATCTGACCAGATCATTTTCTGTGGATTTTAAATGCTGAATATTGTGAAGTAGTAGTTAAGAAATCTGCATGACGTATCACTATCCACCACCTAAGAGTGAGTTTTGTCAGACACTCTAATGTAGATAACAGAAACCTTCAGTTCCAATAAGAAGAACATCAAAGAAGGAGAGGAATAGCGAGAGACATCCTTTCTCAGTCATCACATTCCCCAAAAGATTGCATGACTTCCCTTCGGAAGCATCTCACTTCTTTGTTTATAGGTGCTCCTTTGGAAATTAAAAATACTCATTCACCTGGAGATTTGTTCCGCCGAGGGGAAACAATAGTTCGTTACGTCGCAATAGATCCATCGGGCAATAACAGGACATGTGATATTCAAATCATCATCAGAGGTACGGTACAATATATTTAACTATATACTTATACTTTTACCTATGACTCTCCCTCCCTACCCGCACACAAGTCAATTTTGATCCCCTGTTCCCAGATGAATACAGTGGCTTTGTCATTAGAAGACTTTCCTCTTCGACTCTGACACCTAGCCGAGAAGAAAGGGAAAGTTACTATAGGCAAACTGCCTCTGTTAAGCGCTTTGAGGTGCTATCCCACATGACGGGAGCTATATAAATGCAAGTTGTTATTGAATAAGTAATTTCAGATTTAATTTCCTCAACAGACACGGTTTGTGAAATACCTTTCAACCCACTGAATGGAGACTTCATGTGTCATGCCGATGACATGGGGATGAACTGCACTCTGTATTGCTTTGATGGATTTGGACTGGCTGTCACACCAGTCGAAAGTTACTACTGTGCCCATGATGGTTTGTGGGTTCCATCTTCCACTGCTGACTGGCCTGACTGCTCCAGTAAGTGATGTTATTCATTGTGTAGGTCTTTGAGTTATTTCTGTTTATTAATTGTGCTTTTGAGGTTAAGGACTCAAAATAACTAGTGCAGGCTTGTAATTCCCCTTGAGATACACTGCTCAATTCAAACCTACCCTGGTGTAAATTGTGATGCTTTGATGTGTTTTTATTTGATGTGCTAATTAACACATCTGTTAAGAAACATTGCGATTTCCAGTCAATAACTAAAGGCTGCTCGTGGGCATAAACCTTACTCTGCCCTCCCCTGTCTTCAGCACAACAGTCGTGTCTGAGGTTTACCTGAAGATTTTAATGGAGCCATTCTGTGCTACTTCACGAGAATATGAGCTCTTTCACACTTTAATAATCCTTGCATGTGACTGAATTCCTATAATGTCAAAATGCCACAAAGTGCTTCACAGCTATCTGCTATCGAAGTGTAGAGACTGTATTTGTCTACAAATTTGGTAGCCAATTTGCACACAGCAATGTCCAATGAACGGAATGTCCAATTTATCTGCAGGAATACTGGGCAGGACAATGGGGGGAAAAGAAACTCCTCTTTTTGAGTAGTACCATGGGATCTTTAAAGTACACTTGAGCAGTGAAACAGGACCCTAGTTGAACATTTTATTTGAAAGGCGGCATCTCCGACAATGCTAGGCTCCCCCCTGCTGTAATGCACTGGAGTTTCAGCCTGATCTATGAGCTCAAAATCCTGCCATTTATCCAATAAGAAACATTGCGATTTTCACCCCTTTGAGTTGAAAACATTGAGATGTTCACATGTGCCACATGTATATAAAACTGTTTATTAGTCTTTGAAGCAGTTAGTAACCACAGCCACTGTCACTTTCACTGAAACACTGCATGAAGTCCAAGAATTATTTTTGAACCCTGCTATATTGATATGAAATTTTATCTTAATATTTAAGACTTTTACATTTTTATAAAATGTTTTGCCCACAAAATATACAATGAATTCACTTTACAGTTTATTCTGTGAAGCACTTTCAGTTGTGTCAACAATATGACAATACGCTACATCAAATACAAGGATTATTATTATTGCTTTATTATTATTATTATAACCACTGCAGCGAAACGCTTCGGGAACAATGGGCATAAGAAATTTGAAACGCAATACAAAGTGAACCGGTGTGATGACTTCACCCTTCTAGATAGCTTCGCAAGTGCTTTCAATAATGCACTGGCTGAAATGGTAAGCTTGCGTGCATTCTTTTCGTATCAGACTTCCAGGCTAGGCAAAATATCAGCAAATTAATATGCCTCAGAATAATATTGAGATCTAAAATGTAGGATCCCTCCCTCTACCCTTTTGTCTCTCCTCCTCTATCTGTCTTTAAGTCCTGCCTTAAAACTTATCTCTGACTGCACCTATGGTCACCATCCCCTTCCTCCCCCGTCTCAGATGCTGAAATATTACTCATTGTCTGACCCCATCTTTCTTTCGCCTCTGAGTGAGAAGGTCATGGATTTGACTGCATGTTGGCACTCTCAGTTAGTCTAGGCTGACACTCCAAATCAGTGCTGAATTGCAATGCGATGCAGTGCTAGAGGTGCCTTCCTTTGGATGAGGAGAATGGCTGTTTGTGGCACGTTGTTGTGCACAAATTGGTCGCCACATTCATCTACAAAATACACTATCACCACACTTCATAATAATCCCTGTGAAATAATTTGAGAGGTCCTCCTGATGTAAAAGGCTCTATATCAAATGTAAGGATCATCATTATAATACCGTCACTTTTATCATTGCTCCAAAACATCGCAGTGATATTGCATTTGATGTCTGTAGGTTCCATCTTTGTGTGGTGATGATAATGATATTGAATGTGAAATGGAGGATTTGCCCAAAGCACAATGCCTGGAGTACAATTATAACTATGACAACGGTTTTGCCATAATAGGTATGTGCTCTGACATTAGCTCAGTTACACTTTTGCTCTCACCTTAAGACTTACCTTTTCAAGCATGCCTATGGTCACCTCCCTTCTCCCCTGCTTGGTGCCCAACTCCGCCATTGTGCAGCGCTCTGAGACACTATCTTGCATGAAGGGCGCAATATACATGCAAGTTTGCTATGCATTGCATGTGTGTTAGATGCTTTCAGTATCAACCAGTGGCCTAACCAAGTAACACGTGAGCTGGCTGTCAGCTATATTAGAGTCACACGTAAAGTCCATGCCTCTGTCGATTAACTGCCAAGCCAATTGCTGTTTCCTCAGGGCCAGTGTTTTGGGGAGATAATTATGATGCACTGAATGAAATGGAATACCCTTATGATGAGCCAGACAAAGTGCTCACAATACAGAAGCAATCCAATGGGCATAGGAGGGGGCCAGACTCCCCGAGGATGGGCGAACTGCAGCCTAAGAAGCAACATAACCAGAAACCAAACATAAATATTCCAGAAACAGACCAGAAAATTCATCTTGTTTTCAACATCAGTGGTGAGTCCAACCGCCCCGCAAAGCTCATGTGTCAGAAAGGCCAACGCTCATCATCATGGCACTTTTATGTTTCAAATGAGGTATCATCTGACCATTCAGTTGCACGTTGAGGTTTATGACACTACTGTGAAACTGAAGGCAGTTTATTCCCATGTGTTGCCAACACAATTTTCAGATGAATTGGTCTTTCACCGCATTAGCTGTTTGCGGGACTTTGCTCTTGCAGTTAAATAGCTGCCAAGTCTATATAAAGCAGTCACTTTGCTTCACAGTAAATGCTCGTGAAGCACTTTGAGATTTTATTTTGGTCAACTACATGAGGAAACCCATCACATTAAGAGTACCAAACAAAACTGAAAGTTCCATGCATCCCACCTACACATGGAAATTCCAGAGATATTTGCTGGAATGGAATGCACACGCCCCTGGAGGGACACTTCCTGCTTATCTAATTCCATAGAGTATTAGATGCACATTGGCAAGAGCCAAGGTTTGGGAACTTCAGAGTGTGCATTGGTGTGGAACCAACTAGAACCACACAGCTTGCCATTGATTAAACTCTCAGTTGAAGCGCTCCGGGATACTACCCCACGTGAAGGTCACTATATAAATGCAAGTAGTTGTTGCTGTTGTTGATATTGCTGTCCAGCAAGCTTTCCCGCTGCTTGTCCAGCTAGAACCACCCTGCCAGTTAGGGCTTTGGCTTGCAGGGTTAACAGGAGCTGAGTAGGATGGCTCCCTGCCCCAGTGCCTGGTCTGCCATTCCAAATCCTGCCGATGAGCCAGACTGGCTGTTCTGTCATCATCAGTGCCTTGGTATACTGCAGACCACGTGGCTCACGAACTGGACTACCGAGGCAGTTACTGCGTGGCCTCCAAACAACATACTGTTGTCAAACATGTCAACTTGGAGCCAATTTACCTGCCTCCGCCATCCCCCAAGGAGGATAGTCACTAGATGGTCATTTGACAAGCATGGTTTTGAGTCCTCACTAGGTGGATGGTAGGTTACCAGGAACTCCCTGCGAGCTTCCTGGTAGGCAACACAATTCAGTATGAAATGTGTGAGAGAATTGCCACCGTCTTCCTGCCCACAGCTCGGGCAAACATTGCTTCCCATTGAATGATGGTTCCACCAGTAGGAATGTGTATCTTGAGCAGGAGCTGTTTGCCTCTCTGCAAGCCAATCAAGTTGGATGTCAAGTAATGGATTCAGGGACATGTGCTCACAAACATGGTCTCCAGGTAACACCTTGCAGCAGCTGTAGGCCCAAGCCTCAGCGTTTCCTCGTCAGCTATTCGATGGGACATTTGCCTTTAGCAAGGTGGGAGGACTGAGATGCTTTGACGTGATAAAGTGCTATGAAATCTGAGTTCTTTCTCTACCACTGGTGGTAGTATTGCTTCTAGTGTGAATCCAAATAAAATTAATGTGAGCTGTGGCATGATTACACTGTACTGTAAGACAGCCTATGAAATAAATCTGACATTGTTTTAAGACGTTTTGGAGGGGGTTTATCCTGTATGTGGCTATGGGAAAACAGAGAGTTTTACTGACTAATGGTTTCACTTTGCAAAATGAAACATTTTCTTCCAGATACAGGAAACAAACAGATTGAGTGAAAGAGACTTACCTCTCTCTCTCTCTCTCTCTCTCTCTTAATCTTCTCTCCTTCTCTGGGCTGGGAAGCTTAACAGTTAAACCATTTTAAAGGTCGGCCCACACTTCAACAAATGTCTGTGATCTTAACAGTACATCCATTGACCGTGGAAGGATTATTATTATTGTTAGAAAAAGATATTTTATTGCCCTTGTGTTTTGATGTAATGCAGCACAAGTCAATGAGCGCTTCATTTAAGGTTCTGTATTGTATTTCAAGGAAGTGCTGCATTTGTGAGGAAAGCTAGAGTTTTCTGACGAGTGTCTGAAAGTGATATCTTCCATTTTCTAGCAACTATAGCGCAGCCTGATGAACAAAACGACACGGCAGAATTGGAGAGTCAAAGGCGGCTGCTTGAAACACTGGAGCAGGTCACCAGCCGCCTGAAAAGGGCGCTGGAAAGTGAGCCTCTGTACCGCTTCCCCTTCAAATCTGAAACAGTCCTGTCAGACAGCAAGTCACTGGAGAGCAATAAAGCAGCTTTATTCTGTAGGCCTGGCTCGGTGTTAAAAGAGCGCATGTGTGGTAAGTTCTCTGCTTAGAAAGACTTCATCTAGTGGGTAGTTATCAAATGGAACAGGTTACCAGAGAAGAGGGTTAAGGAAGGACTCTGGAAACAAAAAACAGCTTGATACTATGATGGGAAGATGTTAGAGTAAGCTTATTAAAGCGCTCTGAGATGCCGTCCGGTGTGGAGGGCACTATATAAATGCAAGTTGTTTTTGTAGAGTAGCTACTCTGGAAGGATGAGATCAAATCGGCCGAAGGGTTGTCTTCATCCAAACCAATCTTGTGATATGGAAGGCTGTAGATCCAGAATCAATTGTGGGTTTTAAAAGGGGAGGATAGGTGGATGGATAGACAGATGGAACAAGTTGAGAATCTGGTTTTGTGGAGTGGAAACAAATCTTGGAGTGGGGGGGAAATAGACTACTTTAGAAAAAGTAATTTGTTGAAATTTAAAAATAAAAATAAGAATATACATTTTTGATCAGTGGGAGACACTCGCTTTGCAATAATTGTCTAACCTTTTTGTTCTGCTCTACAAAACTATTTCAGTAAACTGCCCTATAGGGACATTTTTCTCATTGGAACACATCTCTTGTGAGAGCTGCTGGATTGGATCCTATCAGGACCAGGAAGGACAATTGGAATGCAAGATATGTCCCACTGGAACATCTACTGAATATATGCATGGCAGGAGCATCCACGAATGCAAAGGTGAAATGGACTATTTTACATGTGGTGCTACACAGATATTCAGTGGTATAAAAGGTCATAGACTTTCACCTACAAAATACAGGCATACACTTTCAATATATCCTGTGGAGCTCATTGAGTCATCCTCCTGACATGAAGGGTGCTATACCAAATGCAAGGATTGTTATCATTTTAATCTTGTGAGGAATGCAGGGAACTGAATGTTCTAGACTATAACAATGAGTTCTCTCATCCAGACCGATGGAATTAAATTCCTGTTCCTTCACTGGGTATGAGTGAACTTAAAGGGGAAAGAAAGAGCCCCCTTGATGCTTTATTGGAAGGTGAAGCTGGCCTGAAGCGTAAGAAAAAAATGGTTACTCACTCTGTGATGTTTGTGGGACACTGCTGTGGGCAACTGGCAGCTGGTTTAGCCCACAAAACACACAGTCACTTCACTTTACAGTATATTCTGTAAAACAATATTAGATGTCCCAATGACGTGATAAGGCACTATATCAAATGCAAGGATTATTATTGCTTGCTTTGCTCGTGTCTCTAGTTACGTTTACTGAAAAGATTTGGTTTGCCAGTTTTAAAGTGCAGAGTCTCCTCTGAGAAGAAGATGGAGCCACAGCTCACTTGTCTTTACCAGCGGAGAACAGCTCTGTGTTGGCAGAAGCAAAGTTATTGAGGTCCTGGCAGTGGGCATTTGACATGAGACACGAGTAAGCTTCCTATAGCTTAGTTTCTAAGACAGGCTCACAAGCAAGCTTAATGCCTTAGTGGGTCCAACATAGCGGTTTCACCACCACACTGGCTTCTCCCCAGAGAGAATGTCACTCACCTTCCCTCTTGTGCCCAGGATAGCCTTCATTTGGTCTCTACTGATTTTGTTGATCCCAGACGGGGTAGCAGTAGAAGTGCCCCAATTGATCTTATGGTCCCTCAGCCAGAGTTCCCAGAACTGATCAATATCCACTTTTCTCTTCTGGAGTGTGGGTGAGTACAGGGTGAAGCTGGCCTGAAGCTAAACTGAGATTTTCTGTATTCCTCCCTCAGCTCAATGCAGTCCTGGAACCTATTCTTCAAACGGACTGGAAACCTGCGAGTCGTGCCCATTAGGAACCTTCCAGCTGACATATAGTGCAAAGTCTTGCGATCTGTGTCCAAGTGGGTTGACCACTGTCATAAGAGGAGCCATTAAAGCCACTGATTGTGGAGGTACAGCGTAAAGTTTTCCTTAACATCCGTTTTACAATAACTTGGATTCCTGCCCTCACACCCCAGCATGTCAGATCTCCACTTTAGTCATTTGCGAGTTCAGGAGGTTTTTTTTCAAAACTATTCTCAGTCTGGATGAAGATGATGGTTATTCTGGTTCATGCACCTTAATTTAAAGTTAAGAAATTAAAAGATTGAAATAAAAATTTAAGACTGAATTTAAGAATTGTACCAAATTCCCTGATCGACAATGCGTTTACCAAATTTGGTGGGCGATGGTATCCTGTTCTCATGAACAAGGTCAGCCAATTTACTGAGCAGTGCAGAATTCAAGTCAGAATTATCTGTAAGTAAAGGGGCAATACAACAGGTCCATAACAGATGAATGCAAAAATGCCCTGAGCTTTTCAGCAACGCTGGTTTTGACTCATTTCAGATACAAGCAAATTCTTCAAATAAGAACCTCTAGAGCGGGCTGTGCATTGCACTTGTATAATAGCCTTCCACCTCCAGTAGCTGGATTTGAATCCAGCTCAGTGATGCTGTGGAATATCCCTCTCTCTGCTGACTGCGATGATCATGCCAAGTGAGTCAGGATAAATCTCACCCTGCTTGTTCATAGACCGAAGGCCACGATGCTCTTCCATTCATGTTTTTTTTTAATGGGAACATTAAGATCAATGCAGACGTGAAAGAGAAGGGAAGTTTCATTGATTGTTAAACGCGATTGCAATGATTTTTGTCTGTTCCTTTGAATTTTGAAACGTAATATTTTCTCTCTCATGTGAAGTGCCGTGCGCTGCAGGACATGTTTCTCGCTCTGGTATAATGCCATGCTACCCCTGCCCCAGAGATTACTATCAGCCAGACACTGGAAAATCGTTCTGCCTCGCCTGTCCGCTTTATGGTACCACCACCAGCACAGGAGCCTTGTCTCGGAGTGACTGTTCTGGCAAGTAGCAGCCCTTTGACTTTCTGGAGCTCTGTTTGTTCTCTTGACAACAGCAATTATGTTCAAACTCTGGAAACAGAAAGCATGAAAAATGTAGTTGTTCCCTTTCGCAGGTTTCAACTCTGGATTCAAACTAGCCACTGCAAGTCTGCTGATACCTACACCACTGGAAAGCAAGCCACGTGGCAGGGCAAGTCAGGTAGGAATATCAAAGAACACACTTTGTCTGCTTTGTTTCATGCAATATTTATATGTAACAAATATTAATAATAATCCTTTTATTTGATATTTACCTTTCACGTCAGGAGGACCTCTCAAAGCTCCACACAGGATTTAGTGTAAAGTGCAATGACCATATTTTCTAGGTAAACACGGCAGCAATGACCAATTTTATTTGGTAGATTGTTGGCCAGGACTTTGGGAGAAATTTCATACTCTTTTGAATAGTTCCTTGGACCTCTGTTTTTGCCAGTACCGGCATTTACCAGTTTTTTTCAGTGCCTGCTTTTCTCAGTGCTGAAAAATGCAATTACTGGCAGTGTAATTGTTTGATTCCTACAAACAGAAGGTATCATATCCCTGGCTACTGTGAAGGCCTGCAGGATAGTGAGGCTGCTCATTGAGGCTGCATTGGTGTGTGTCAGGAGAGTTAGGAGTTGGGAACCTTCATGCCCGCAGGCCTGTGGAAAATGTTTTTGTTCATTTTTAGATTTCAAATTTTTAGGTTTTAGGTTCAGATTCTGGAGTCTTTTAAATGGCGTTTTTACTGTATTGTGTTGAAATTTTCAATCTTTGGAGAAGAGGCTTGACCGGTTATCTAACTCACTGAGGCCCTCGAGAGGTAATAACCCCAACCTGCAGCATTACAATGCCAGTCATTATCATTCAGTCCTTGCTAATTGCCTAAGGACCAGAAAGCCCAAACTGTAATTTCAATCCCTTGCTCTTTGCGACAACATCAACACTGTGGGTCTTGAAGACAACTTTGTAATGTGGATCTGGTGTATGTCAAAAAAAAATTAATGAAAAAAAAAGGAATAAATAAATACATTACTCCCGACTCAAAGATCTTTTTATTTCATATTGGAGTTTTGAAAGGAGTGTTATGTGATTTGGGTTATGGGAGTTCCAGAAACAAGGTTTAAAGTTACTGTGCTGTCTGGTTGCAGCTGTCCTCCTCATGACACAAACCTATTTGTTTTCTTGGGGTCTTTGATGATATTTTTTGTCTGCTAAAGTATTATTACTAAACTTCAGTGGAAATTTAATCATCACTGGTAAATACTGGTCTTCAAATCCATGATTAGAACAGGTCTGGAATAGAAAAATAAGTAAGTAACTATACGGAGCGTTGATCAGACCTCAGGTTGTGTACTTTGTTCAATTCTCAGCATCTGATCCTAATGAATGCACCTGGGGAGGGGAGGGGGAGGTACGACAGGTCTGCTTGGAGCTGAACTGGCTCCAAGGTGATGTGTTTGGCAATAGTATTTTGGAATTGAGTCAAGTATTTAAAAATAATGGAAGGAATTGACAGAGTAAATGGTGGGTGTCTGTTCCCTCTGGTATAGGGATCCATTACAAGGGGCGGAACCTTAAAATCAGAGTCGAGAACTGAGGTCAGGAAGTACGTTTTCACGTAGAGCATTGTGAAAATGTGGATCACTGTCCCAGAAAGCTGCACAAGTGTAATCACTAGGGATATTTAAAAGAGAGATAGACAGAGACTTGGGTAGTAGAGGTATTAATGGGTATGGCGAAAGGGTGGGCCATTAGGATTTAAAAAATTGACAATTTCTAATAAACTGTTGGGACAGGCACAATGGGCTTGTCCTACTCATGTTTTCCTATGTTCCCATGATTTAAACATGTCTACATCATGCTAACGTTCATTAATTCCATAGCAACCCTTTCCAGAAACTGCAGGTCTAATCTTGGCACTTCATGAAAGTGATTATTGGGTGTACTCTGCAACATATCGCAAAATAAATTTCAGGAACACTAGTTACTAATGTTTCTACTGCGATTTTCCTGTGTTTCTTTTTAAATACTTGTAGAAATACAATGCTATCAAGCTGTAATAATTTTGCAGTTAGTTAATCTGAAAAAGTTTATTACTGTGAGCAATATTGAAGACCTCACTTCTTGACTTGATTATATTCTTCTCCCTTGGCTTGAAGGAATTTAATGAGTGCTTCCTGCAGCCTTGCCAGCACAGTGGGACCTGTCAAAGTGCTGGCTCTGGATATATCTGCTTGTGCAATCCTGGCTTCACAGGTAAGTGAACAGCTCATTCCTTCCACATTCCATGCTTCATACAAATTAGAGCGTAGAAGGAAGCCGTTCAGTTTATCGAACCGATGCTGGTACCAGCTCGATCTCTGGAGCTAACGACCCTAATACGAATCACTCTCTGTATAATTACTCTAGGAATGCAGCAGCATTAAGAGGTTATAAATTATGTACCAAACTGTACTTTAGGTTCGAACTGTGAGATAAACATCGATGAATGTGCGTCAGATCCCTGCCAAAATGGTGCCACGTGCCAAGATGAAATTGTGAACTTCTCATGCTTGTGTCCACCTGGCTATATGGGTAGGTCTTTTATCGGGCAATTATTTCACTAATACTAACAGAATATTGCGCAACCCAGATGTAGCAGAATTGCCGGTCATACAATATCTCAGAGGCTCCATTATAAGCAAAGCACAACATAATGGTCAACTTCCAGGCTGTCAGGTCACTGTAGATGTCACTTCCTGCGATGCTGTGCATGCGCAACAAATACCACTGATGTCACTTCCGTTGAGATGTGATGTCAGCAACGTGTGCAGGAAGTAATGTTAGCGGTGTTTCTTGTGCCTAGCCCATATGCACAGGAAGTGAAAAGAGCAACACATAGCTCCCATGCAAGCAATATACGGAAATTACTGTTGAGAGACCTGACAATCAGGAAGTTGACTTTTTTTAACTATTCTGCACGAGACACGGGGAATACTGTACTTCTTGTCTACAGGAAAACAGCACTGTATTCAAAGTCACACTGAAAGAGATGAAGGCCCATCTAACCATGTTTTAAATGTGTATTTCATTTGTGTTAATTCAACTGAAAGTGTCAGTGTTCTGAGGATAGAAAGATTTAAAGCCTGAAATCTCAACGAGCCTGTAAGACCATTTTGCCTTAAAATGTAAGAACTGTATAGAAATGTGGACGTTAAATATTAAACTCATCTTAATTTGGGGAGATTTTTTTCTACATGCGCTTAAAAAGAACCAATCTTAAATTTCAGAAAAATTGTTTTACGCTCAGACTGGGTGTAATTTCAGGCCTCTGTTAATTTATTATTACCACTGGAAAAATAATAATGATCTTAATTTGACATAGTGCATTTCATATCCGGAGGACATGGCAAGGTGGTTCATAGAACATATTATAAATTGTAGTGACTGTATTTTGTTGCAAATGTGATTCTACATCCAGTTACAGAAATCACAAAGAAACATTCTTTCTGTGTGTTTAGGGGCAAAATAAGTATTTATTGGCAATGGCAAACAATGTGGTTTTAGCTGGTTAAGTTCCAGCAGTATCCCAACGCACATTCTCGGGTCCACAAGCCTAGACTTTTGCCAACCTGTGCCTAACATTCTCCAATTAGGTAACAGTCTGTGTCCCTTTGGGAAAAGTGTGTGCATTGTATTCCAAACATGAGAATTTCTGTGTGTGGGTGGGATACATGTAACTCTTTGTCTAATTTGGCTACATTTAAGCATGGTGATAAGTTTCCTCATGTGTCAGACACCTTAGCTGACCAGAAAAAAAGGGTGTTTAGAACAGAAAACATTCTTCACTGATGCCACCATGGATTTTTCAGGTTTGCTATGTGAAGAAGAGCTGAATGAATGCAACTCGCACCCATGTCTTAGTGATGGAACTTGTGTTGACGGCATTAATACATATTACTGCAGGTGTACATATGGATTTACAGGTGAGTTCTTTTCAAACCATCTTGCACATTTTGGGAATCATTTTAGCTATTACATTGGAGGACTGAGTCACATATGTTTTTTTCATAACAAATAAATAACTTACACCATGAAAAATCATGCAAAGTGCCCAAGTCTCTCAACCCAAAGAGAATGCTAAAATGTATAAAAGAATTTCTCTAACCAAGAGACACAGCTATAAGTTGATATACTGGCAAGGAAATCTAAGATGAGAAGTTAGGAAGAACTTCATGCAAAGGTTAGTGAGAATGTGGAAATTGTTGCTTGAAATGCTCAGTGAAGTATAGCATAGATGCATTGAAGAGGAAACTTATATACTTATGAGGGAGACGGGAACAGAAGGGTATGGGAGGAAGTAAGGAGTGGGTGGAGACTCATGGAATATATAAACACCGGCATGACTGGATGGGCCGAATTGTCTGTTCTAGTGCTGTCCATTCTATGTGAATTTATGAACAGAGTATAACTCCCACAACGTAGCTTTGGAAAAAATAATTATTTCTGCTCATTCTACATTCTCCCTTCCTCTTCTCCTCTCCTACCCCTCACTCTACCGTTTTCCCTATCTTTACTCGTCCTCTCCCCCTCCCTGAATGAGTGCTGATGAACGGCTCTCCTTGTGTCACATTTATTTCCTAATCAAAAGCCAACTGCTTAACTGTTACATTTATTGCTTCCTTCTTCCCAGGTGTCAACTGTGAGCTGGATATAAATGAATGCCTTTCAGCTCCATGTTTAAATGGTGGTCTGTGTCTCAACCTGTTGGGTGGATTTCAGTGTACCTGTCTGCCCGGTTTCTTTGGGGATGCATGTGAGATTAACATTGATGAGTGTGGCAGTGCACCCTGTCTAAATGGGGGATCGTGCATTGATGACGTAAATCTGTTCAGGTAAGAATCAATAATATGCACCTTTCTGCATGCAGCTCCACCTGCATGACAGTATTCTGTTATTTATTTTAGGTTATTCATAGTTCATTTCATTATAATAACAGTATAGTACCATAACTGTTTGTGGGATACTGCTGTGCGTATTTGGCTGCCGAGTTTTGCCCACAAAATATACAGTCAATCCACTTTACAGTATATTCTGTGAAGCGCTTTGAGAAGTCCCGAATATGTGATAAGGCGCTATATCAAATGTAATGGTTATTAGTAGTAGTATATAATGATTTGTGCATTTGATATAGCGCCTTTTTAGGTTGTCGAATCATTTCAAAATGCTTCACAGGATTTTACTATCAAGTGTAGTATTTGCACGCAAACACAGCAGCCAATTTACACATAGCAATGTTCCACAAACATCCATGAAGTGAATAATCAACATTAGGGCACTATTGGCCAGGACACCAGAAAAAAACCTTTTTTTATACAATGATATAGGATGTTTAACCTGAACAATCAAACAAGACCTTGTTTTAACTTCTCATCCAATAAACTGCACATCCAGCATTGCAGCAAGTTTGGCATTGAAGTACTATGTAAGTTCAAAGTCCTGATATGGGGCTTGAGCCTACAACCTTCTGATTCAGAGGCGAGAGTGCTACTGACTGAGCCAAGGAGACACCTAGCTCATGATTGACTGAAGGAAACTGTCACCTTAAAGAATAATGTTAATATTTATCCATTTATCATGTAACTTTGAAATATATTGTTTTAACCACTGTAATCCACTACAGTTAGCCTTTGCTTGCAATTATTTACATGTTGGATTAATAAGAAATAAAAAAAATTGCAATTGAACTAATATTATCTCAACTGCTGGATTTCTTACGTAGATGTCAATGTGCTGCAGGCTACACTGGCTTTGTCTGCGAAACAGAGGTGAATGAGTGCAAATCAAATCCGTGTATGAACCATGCAGTATGTGTGGATGCTCTGAACTCTTATACCTGCAAATGTCCACCAAGCTTCAATGGGACCTGGTGTGAAACAGGTAAGAACCTCACAGAAATAGTGCAGTAACATGTCATAGGTACAGAGGCAGTCTCTTGATTGTCAATGGATAGAAAGCTGTGTAGAGGAACAGGGTTATGATGTTTATCTACAGGAAGAGAACTTGAAACACAACCCCACATTGTTCTTTCAAGTTGAAAACAAGGTTCTAATTATCTCAATCTAATCTCTTGCACCAGATCGACTTCATTAAGCAAGTATTGTTAAACAACGCTTGATCTTAGCTGAAAATAATTGTATCAATTGGTGACTTGGTAGCTAAAGAGTTGAATGTTTGAGTGAAACCCAGTGTTGCCTGTCATTCTAATTCATCTACATCAATTGGGTCAATTTTTGTGTGGTTATTTAAGTCACTGAATGGAGCGAAATGCAGAAAAGAGATGTTTCATGCGTGCAAATTGTCTGTCATGTTTTATCTGGAAAATTGTTGGCCAGGACACTGGGATGTTGAGATGTCTGCAGCTCAGGTGCTTCTACACTCCCAAATGGAGAAAGTTGTTACCTACATTTGATTTATTAGAAATCCACATGATTATTCAATGGGTTCAAATAAACCTGTCAAAAACATGTTGGATAGAACAAAGCTTTTGTTGGAATGCTAAAGTGAGGGAAAATGTCATTGGAATAATGCAACTGATAATTGAAGCACTGTTTGCATTGGGATAGTATTTAATTAATTTAGTTGAATTTGATCTGATTTTTAACCTTGTAGAAATTTACCAAGTAGCAAAGTTGAGGTTTAATTCATCTCTCAGTTACATGTGGTCATGTATTGACATCTTTTACAGATTTCTTATTCTGTATTTCAGAGTTGTCCTCCAACTTCAACCTGGATTTTGAGGTTTCAGGAATCTATGGTTATGTTTTGCTGGATAATAAGTTGCCAACACTCAGTGCTCTCACATGCACTTTCTGGATGAAATCTTCCAACACTATCAACTATGGGACCCCGATTTCCTACGCCATTGACAATGGCAATGATAATGCCTTTCTGCTGACAGATTATAATGGGTACAGTGCATTCCATTCCAATGACTGGAAAGGTTGCGTAATATTCTCTCATTAGATAATTGCCGCCCTGTGTCAATTGTGATTAATGATCAAAATGTTCATGCATTCCCTCAAATTGGCGTAGTTGTGTTTAATCCAGATGTAAAGAGATTTTAATAATGCTTTAAAGAATATAATGGAAATATGCTAACTGCAGTGAAACCAAAGAGAAATGTTATGGGCATGAGGTTATAAGGGAAATACCCTGATAGTTCTTGTACAGTATGTAGGGTGCAGGCATTCTGCTAAAAACAGAGGTCAAACTTCTACAAGGTAGAAGTTCAAACCAGATCCCTTGCGTAAATGACACAAGTTGGACCAGTTTATAGATATATCAAAAGCCCGGGGCTTAGAATAGGGGTCATATTATTCCAGCATTCCTTACGTGGTTTGATATGTCATAACCACACCACGTCACAGGACATGTGGTTGGATAACACAATGAGGCAGTCAGGTATCACAGTACAGTAGAACTCTGTTAGAAGTAATTGGGGTCCATTAAATTCCTACCTAAGTTATAACCGGGTATGATGGAGAGAGGTCAGTTCATGGTGAATGTGTACAGAAAGCCACCTGGCTTCCTGTGCCAAAACATGTTGATGTAATTTGTCAAGCATTATTTCTCAAAAAGTATCTGTACAGATTTTTATCAGGAAAAAGTAATTGTTTTGCTAGTATTGTGTATCCACAGCAAAGCACAGTACATTGCTGTATCATATTTTTGGAGCTGATCATTCTCTCTCTTTCACCAGTTGGGTGTTATACGTTAATGGAAAGGAAAAGGTGACAGATTGTCCTGCAGTGAATGATGGGAAGTGGCACCATATTTCTGTCACTTGGAATAACACAGACGGAGCTTGGAGGGTCTATATAGATGGGAAGGTTTCAGATGGTGGGAAGGACCTTTCTACCGGATCAAGTATCGCAGGTAATACAATACAAATATATATTTATATAGTATTACTTTTATAGAAATTAAAAGCAATGGATGAGCATCTTGTAAAACAATCTAACGGTATATTCGGTAGCTTTCTGTTACATTCTTACATATCATCAACAACAAATTACACTTGTATAGTGCACTTCATGTCGGAAAGATATCCCAGTGTGCTGGACAGTCAGGGGTTTTTGGACCCGAGCTGGGAGAAGGCAGGGATTTGGGGGTGGGAGGGTGGCCGAAGGAGGTAAGAAAGGGTGTGAGGCGGAGGGATTGTGGGATAGAGTTCATATATATATATATATATATATACATATATATGGTATCTTCATGTAGGATAATGTCGCTGAACAGTGACAGGCTCAGATTCTGAGTAAGGGACGTGGAGGAGGAAGGTGACTATAAGCACAGTCAGAAAGACAAGTTTTCAAGTGGGATTTGAAGATCGATAAAGAGGGATTGAGGCAGGGATTTCCAGAGATTTAGGATGTAGTGACTGAAGACTCAGCCAATGATGGTGGCATGGGGAGGGGACGGGGGTCTGTGTTAACAGAGTACCTTTAGGAAAATGCCCTTTGATTAAATGACCCATTTCACATTCTCACAAGCAACTAATCCCTTATAAGAATGATATTGCTTAAGTATATCATAGGGTGAAAATAGAAAGGCCAATTAGCAAATGAAGCCCCTCCTTCATGACTCTACAGAATATTCCAACAACAACAACTCGCATTTATATAGCGCCCTCCACGCGGTGTCTCAGAGCGCTTAACATTGGCGGAGCCCGAGGCTGAGCCAGGTGGAGGGGGAAGGTAACCGTAGCGCGGTCAAAAAGGAAGGTCTTCAGGTGTGACCTGAAAATGGGGAAGGAGGGGGCAAGGCAAAGGGGTCGAGGAAGGGAGTTCCAAAGTTTTGGAAAGTAGTGATTGAAGGCACAGCTGCTGATGGTGGAGCGGAGGATTCCAGCCGAGAGGTGACAAAGGCATGGACAAGGGTTTCAGCAGCTTTTGGGGTGAATTATTGTTGAAGACGGGCAATGTGGGGGAGGTGAAAGAAAGTAGTGTTGGTCATGGACTGGATGTAGGGGAGGAAGGATAACTGGGATCAAACCTAAGTCCTAAGTTTTGCACAGGTTCGGAGAGTTTTAAGGATAGATCGGATAGGTTGAGGAGGTTGGAACAGCGGGACAGAAGACATCGGTGGGAGCCGAAGAGTATGGCTTCCATCTTGTTGACTTTTAACTGCAGGAAATTTGCACTTTTCCAGCTCTTGTTGTCCGACAAACAAGCTGAGAGAACATCAAGGGACTGGGGTCGCAGTTGGAGGTAGAAAAGTAAAGTTGAGTGTCATCCACATACATGTGGAAGTTAACTGGTATTATCTGGTAGTGTAAGAACACAGTCCAGCCAAAGAACATGAAAGGATGCATTACTGCCACCTGGTGGTGAACCCTTCACCCCCTGTATCTCTGGGAGGTGGTTGGGCTGGGAAAGTTCTTTATAAATGCTTTCTGATACTCAGAAGTAAACAGTGTAAAACTCCAAACCATGCATCATTTAACCTTGGGACTACTGTTGGCCAGATCAGAAAATTATTGTGTATCGGGGTTGGGGTATGCACATCTGGTTTGAATCTCAATCCGGTTTGAATAATTTTAAACATGGCGGAGGGTTTCTATATATGTCAGACACCCAGCTGACAAAAGCAAAAATCCTGCTTAATAGGTCCCGTTTTTTTCAAATGCTGCATATTGCCGATATTGTAGTCACCAGTTTCTATAGCTTGGCTCTGAATAAATACGACATAATATTAATACATATTACATATACCTTGCATTTAATATAGTACCTTATCTCATTGTTGAGTTGTCTCAAAGCGCTTCACAGGTTATACTGTAAATTGGTTGGACTGCGTATAGAGGGGAAGCAATAGAAGTGCTTTCTTCAGGTGCTGTCTTCAAGTGCTCCAAGACACCATCAGGCATGAAGGGCGCTCTATAAAAGCAAGCTATTGTTGTAATATCACAGTCTAGCCAAAGAACATGAAAGGATGCATTACTGCCACAGTATATGTGCAAAACAGGGAAAATATCCCACTGGTGGCTGTTGACACTAAAGACAAAACATTATTAAAATGGGATATGCTTTCCTATGCGAAGAGGAAAAAGACAAAAGAATACAGAAATTTTTCTCCAATCTGCAGTCTTAAATTTTTAACACAAAATTGGTATACAGGATAAATCCAGGTGGAATATTGATCTGTCTTTTCCTGGAGATGTCCTGGTGATAACTGCCATTGAAGAATAACCTCTAACCATTAACTTAATTACAAGAGTTTTGTTCAAAATTTGGTTGTTACGGGTATTGAACTGGTTGGCGCTGCATTGGGTCCTAAAATTGTGCAGATCCCAGAAATTCAGTACCAGTTCAGGAATATCATCTTAACTCAATGTTGATTTTTGTGTCATTAGATGGTGGAGCATTGGTCCTTGGACAAGAGCAGGATAAGAAAGGAGAGGGCTTCAATCCTGCAGAGTCTTTTGTAGGCTCATTAAGCCAGTTGAATATTTGGGATTATGTACTTACACCACAACAGGTGAGCATATGCTTCATGAATAGGATATCACTTTGGCCAGCATCAATTTTCCACACCACCTACAGCTGGTATTTAAACTGCCAAGCACTGATTTTGTTACTTGAATGAGTTGTAGAGAATATAATAATAATCATCCTTGCACTTGATATTGTGCCTGATCATGTTGTGGAAACCCTTCAAACTTTTGTCACAGGATTTTATTATTTAATGTAGAGACTGTGTATTTGTAGATGAACAGTCGTGACTGAGTGACCAATTTTTATCTAGAGGATTGTTGGCCAGGACACCAGGAAAAACTCTCTTGCAAATATGAATGCCTTTGTGAAAATTAATTGTAACTTTGAAGGAATTTTATGTTGAACATCCTGCTATTTAAAGAACCAGTAGCTTTAGCTTCCTGGTTTCATAGACTTTTGTTTTGTCATTCAATTACATTGCAATACACATTTATGTTTACACATCCTAAATTGTGTTTGTGTGAAGCAAACATTTAGGTTTCCCAATAATGTATTCTTCAATGCATCCTGCAAATGTCACTTGAAACCTATGTTCATTAGCTATTGCTTAATTTTGTAGCTTGAAAAAAATTACCTAAATTTTCCCCAAGTTTTAACCCAATGCGCCTGATAGAGCCTTTCTTAATAGTCCTTATTCCAAAGGCCACTTGCCTAGTTTTTCAGACTTGGATATTGAGCTTCTAAATTAGAAAACGCACTGCTCCACAGGTACAGTTGTACAGAAAAAGCAGTCATTCTATGTTTTAGAAACATGTGCTTAATCTTTCTGTAAATTTCAGATCAAGTTATTAGCCACAGCCTGTCCAGAAGATCTCAAAAAAGGTAACGTGTTGGCTTGGCCTGACTTTCTGTCTGGAATTGTCGGAAGAGTGAAGATAGACTCCAGGAGCATTTTCTGCGCTGGTAATTTCCGTTCTCATTAAAATAAGCCCTTAATTGGTAACGGCATAGGTGTGGTGCATAGAATTAATTGAGTTAAAATGTATCTTTTTTGTCAACTGCCTTTTTTTTCCAACAAAAGTAAATATGCAATTTCCTCCTTCTGTGAAAAATAAAAATAAACCGTTCACGTATATTTGTTTGCTTTCATATGCAGATTGTCCTGTGCTGGGTGGATCTCAGCCCAGCCTTCTGGTCGCCAGTAATGATGTAAAGCCAGGGTCAAGAGTAGAGCTTTCCTGTGAACGTGGCTACCACCTAGTTGGGGACAGTGTACAGCATTGCCAGAATCTGGGAGCATGGAGGTACCCAATTCCCCATTGTGAAAGTAAGCTGCAGATTTATATGTTGTATGTGCTTTCACAGCTCATTTCCATTAATATTACAACAAACAACATTTTCAATGCCTAGCTTTTGACTTATATAATAGAAAAGAGCTGAAGCTTGAAAATGTTCAATCTTCAGGTCAGAAAGATGATTTAGGATAGGAACCTTGCTCCTAAAGGTTGTGTTTTGAAGGAGCAGTGGAGAAAACCAAAGATAGAGGGGTCAGAGTTGTACAACTCTTACTGCTGATCATTGAACTATCTACCTAATGTAGATTGAAAAACAGAGAGACTCTTTGGTCGTTAAATAAGTAGCAATTTATATTTTTTACATTGGCTAACTAATAAACAAAGATCAATATGTTTGAATTTATTCACTCTTGGTGTTTTTGGTTTGAAGGGATTAACTGTGGCTCTCCCCCTGCCCTGAGCAATGGGAGTTTTGCTACTGAGGACAATCTCTTTGGCAGCGCTGTGTCATATCAGTGCAACAATGGCTATTACCTGCTTGGAGATTATAAGCTCTACTGCTCCGATGATGGAACCTGGGCTGGTGTCATGCCCGTCTGCCTTGGTAAGTCCAAAAAATATTGCACCATAGCTTATCTTATGCTCTGACTTGAACAAAGTTGGGAACTCTTCAAATATTAAACAAAAGTTATTATTGTTGTTGTCATTCAGTCTATTATGTCTGTGCTGGCTCTTTGAGAGACAATGTTTAGGTGTTTTATTATTGTAAATTGTATCTAGTTTCCTCTTGAAAGCTAATATGGATTCTGTCTCGACCATCACAACCCAAGCTAATTCCAACAAACAAAGCAGATTTCCTACAATCCAGTGCTTGTTACTTCTTCGGTTATTGATTACATAATTAAGGATATCTATAATTTACTCTACACATGGGTTTACATGTGAAGCACAATGCACATGTGTATTTACACAACAGACAGTCTTTTCAATAAGTGCTAATACACTTCCTCCCCCATTACCTAACACCGTGGAGGGTTGATGTTTCCTATTGTGTTTTCAGATCTCGATGAATGCGCACTGGGGTCAGACTGTGATGTGAGGTCTGAGTGCATCAACACGGTTGGCTCATACTCGTGTACATGCCGGCATCCGTATTCAGGGGATGGTAAAAACTGTTCAGGTAGTATTCGTGCTTCAGATTTTGCTTAGTTTAATATATGTTTACTGGGCTACTGGGAAAAGTAGCATTGTGAATGCACAGCAGTACTTCAGAAAGATGAATTCACAACAGCAATAATAATATTGTTGCATTTGATATAGCTTTCTAAAAATGATTCACAGTTGTTGTTTCAGTGTAGTGATAATCTTCAATTGATTTGTAAGTCAATTGAAGAACTATTTATCTAATATTTGGGCAATTTTCATAGAGTGACTCTTCTTTAATGCCATGCAGAACTAACTTGAGGTTTTCCACCCCCCCCGATGCTGCTGTTCAGAGCCAATTAGTTGTCAATATCCAGAGCTACCCGAGCATGGATTGTCTGAAGGCAGTGTCTACATCGTTGGCAGTGTAGTGACCTTTTCCTGTGAGGCTGGATATCAGCGGGAAGGTGTTCAGAACATTACATGTTTAGAGGATGGGCAATGGAACAACCCAATACCTCAGTGTCAAGGTATGGAGCTGCAGTTGTTTTATGTGCTAAACAGAGGGAAGAACATTAGTGCGCCTAGATAATAAGGAAGACTTTAAACTGCAACCAGGATTTAGGTTTATTTATTGTCATAACATAGTACAGCCTTGTTTTAATGTGGTGGTTGGGATCCATAATGCCCCAACATGCACTAAAATGAGGGCTGTGGCCAGTTTTGTTGTGGCCACATGCAACCAACCAGCTCATCACTTGCACAGCGAAAAGAAGCTGTCAATGTCGCCTCCTGTTTACTCTGTATGCGCAGCAAACAGGAAGTGACCAGTTCATTATTATAAATCAAATCACCGGATTGGTTATCAATGTAATTAACACATCATAACGCATACTCGATGTTTGCATATTTTTGGTCAAATTGTATAATGATATGGTTTCAATCAGTTCTTGCATCTGTACGTTATACCTTTCGTTTCAAAGTTTAGATTCTTCATTTGAAAGATGTCCCTTTTCTTCCTCCTGCCAAGCTCTCTCCTGTGAGGAACCCGCTGTTCCAGAGAATGGTATAACTGAAGGCAATAATCTTACCTATGGCAGTATGGTGACTTTCAGGTACAAGTATTTCTCTCGCCTTCCTAGCACTATCCCATCCACCACCCACCTCAACATGTCTCCACTGCACCCCCCACCCCCTTCTGCAGCTCTGCAGTTCCCCACCCTATTTATGGTTATCATACGTATTCAGACTTAATGTATCAGCCTAGATAGTGAGTATCAAATGAAAGTTGACCATGCGCCCCCTACTGTTTTGTATATTTCTGTCCCCATTTTCCTCCCTTCCCGTTTTACATTATATTGCACACTGTTTGCCAGGGTGCAAAACAGACATGTGACCCGTTCCTGCTGAAGTTGCATCTTGATTTGACACTTGGAGGGCTACAAGAGAGCTTTGTGTCATTATCCTCTACCTCAGCTCTCCCTTATCCCTGTGAGAAAGACGAACGTAAAATTGGTGTAACAATGGCAGCAACCTGTGTGCCCGGAAACAAACAAAGCAGAGCAGGGGGAATAATCCGCCTGGATTCCTATTCCTGATCACTATCCAGTTCTCTCGAATTGAAATTAATTGTTAGCCTGGCTCAGTTGATAGCATTCTCACTTCTGAGAAAGTTGTGAGTTTGAGCCAGCCACATTTCGGGACTTTGAACACAGTCTAGGCTGACGCTCCAATACAGAGCAATGATAGTTTTGTTCCGGAGAGCAGGCAGAGAGAACAGTTACAAACAGAGCTGAAGCTTGCCAGGAATCTAAGGCATCTATCTCCTAGCTTCTGTTATTTCCCATTGTACGTGCACTTCCTTTTACAATGTTTTACAATTTGGTCACTCAATCCACCGACTGTTTGTGGGACACCGCTGTGCGTAATTGTCCGCCGCGTTTCGTCCACAAATATAGAGTCAATTACCTTTACAATATATTCTGTGAAGCGCTTTGAGATGTCTAGAAGACGTGAAAAGCGCTATATCAAATGCAAGGATTATTATTATACATAATGTCATCCATTTATATTATGTTATCATGTGCATTGTTTGAGATGCCTCCCTTTGGATAAGACAATAAACTGAGGTTTCATCTGCCTATTGAGGTGGACATTAAAGATCATTGGGCACAACTCAAAGAGAGCTTTGTTTCACAATATCCTAGCCAAGAAACCCCCCAAAAAATTGCTCACTCATTTTATAGCTTTCTGAAATTCTGCTGTGGGTTCACAGACATTGCTGTGCACAAATTGGTTGCTGCTTTCTCCAACAAAAATAAACAGTCACTACATTTTACAGTGAATCATGTGAAGCACATTGAAACATCCTCCTTAATGTGAAAAGCACTGCATCAAATGATTGGATTATTTATTTTGTTATATGACAATATAATATTACAGCACTTTAGTTTCATTCAAGTGATACGTTTGCAATTTTTATTGTATTCATCAGCTTGTTCTTGCACGTCTAGATTTTTCCTTTTAATAATTTAGCTTTTGTATGAATCAGAATGAAAAAAAAACTCAAGAATGTAATCAAGGCAGTAGAATATTTTGCACTTTAAATTCAAATTCATAAATTTCTCTCTTGAGTTATTTGTGAAATATTTGCCAGATTTTCTCTCATATCCTTTCATACAAACAAACTAAATGTTGCTTTTTCTCCTATACAGTTGTAATAAGGGATACATGTTGTCTGGAGCAAGAGAAATCTCTTGTTTAGCAAATCGTACTTGGAGCGAAGAAATACCTACTTGTAAACCCGTGATGTGCCCTACTCCACACGAGATTAACAATGGCAGATACTATTTGAATGGGTCCGACCTCCTCTCCACCGTTACATACACCTGCAATGATGGATATCAGTAAGTCAGCACTTGGGATCTGCTGAGCCCGTCTCAGAGTCATTGCAGTCCTGAAGGAATCAAATCTATTTTCCAAAGATTTGAGGTTCTACATCTTATTTTTGAAAACAATAATAAAAATTTACATAGCATAAACAGGCAATTCAGCCCAACACGTCCATCCTGGTGTGTACACTACACATAAGTCTCCACCCACTGCTTACTCCCTCCCAAACTATTCTATTCTCTTCCGTCTCATGTGCTTATCTAACTTCCTCTTAAGGGCATCTATACTATCTGCTTCAAACACCAATTATGTTGTGTTTGCAGAACTTTTAGCTGAAAGAATATAAATTGAAAAAGTTTGACATTAAGCTGAAAAGTATGTGTACCTGACCTCCAATATCACAGACTTAAGTCTAGTGGGAATCCTGATTCTCAAACAAATATAGTTTTTAATGAATTTGTCATGTGAATGCACAAATTGTAAATTATCAGTTTTGTTCTCAGTCATTTCTGGACGGTTTCCAAATACTACATTTTCTTCCACTGTCTCCTCCCGACTGAATTATTGTACTTATGTCGCTGATTTATTCCAACAGAAAGCAAAGATACGTGAATAGAAATTAAACTTTAGCAACTTGATTTAAAAATGTGGCTGACTAGGCCTGTTCTGAACTAATTGCACCCTTGAAGATTACAGGGCTCCTCTGTATTGGTGTGCGATGTGGATGGTGAATGGAATGATACGGCACCAGCGTGTGACATTATATGGTGTGGCCCTCCTCCAATAGTTTTTGATGCTGACATTAAAGGAAGCAACTTCACTTTTGGAAATAGAATTTCTTATAGCTGCAACGAGGGGTAAGGCTATTAGATTTTACTTCAAGCATGCTATCCTGTTGACATTCCCAAACAGCGGAGCCATCGACAGTGCAGAATTCCTTGTTTTAACCTTTAAGACCATTGTATGTTAAAATGTATGATTATAGAAAATTCATCACCAGCTCACGGTCTCGGTTCTGCATTCTGTGCTCTTACCCGATCTCTTTGACGGTAGTTGGCCTCAAAGTTATCTGGCTAAGGAAAGGGAAAATCAGGCAGCATTCCTGTTCCTGATAGTCATTCAGTAACTTGTGTTGAAACTGAGTTTGTGATTTCCTTCAGTGTCAAATAGTGTGCTGACACTCATATCAGTGCGACCCCGGTTATATCACACTCCAGTACACTGTGGGGCTGTGTGTAACACTGTCATACCCTGGACATCGCGATACCCTTCCAGCTCCCAGCAGTGACGAGCAGACTTCAGCAGCTTCCCAGTAAATGCTCATGAGAGCCGTTGTCTCTGACCAGCTTTATGTTTTTGCTTAGCGTAGCTCCATAATGTAATCAACAATGTAATAATAATAATAATCCTTGCATTTGATATAGCGATTTCTCAACGTCTCAAAGCACTTCACAGAATAGACTGCAGAGTGAATTGACTGTATATTTGTGGGTGAAACATGGCAGCCAATTGCACACAGCAGTGTCCCACAAACAGTCGTGGATTGAAGTGACCAATTTATTATTGTCTTTTGTTGTCAGTGACCTGATGACTGTAAAGAGTTGAATGGTGTGCTCATCATAACCCGACCCATTATTACTCCGTGACTCGTTTTGTAAACCCAACCACTGTGTTATAACAGTATCCAACTATACCTAGAGTCTAAATTCATGCATAAAGAATGGTCACTTGGAAGATATATCTGAGGTTTCATGATATCCAAGTAACCACAATAGAGGAGGGGAGAGAAAATAGATGGTAACCTATGTATACTAATAATGACCAAGGATGCTAATCAGGAAACTATAATTACAGTTAACAAAAAATGGCACTTTATGAATGGATGTCTGTAATCTAAGTGTTTTCTTCTTGGTCAGCCACACTCCAGGAACCAATCGCTATGCTTAAGAGTATCTAAACCAGACCGAGAATTCCACATATGTATAGCACCTACACATGAAAATTTCCCCATATCTGAAATGAAATGCATAGGTTAGCAAGAGCCAGTGCTTGGGGCCGCCAGATTTGGAATTGTACTGCTGGAATTAAATCGGCTAAAGCGAAATATGAAACGATGAAACATTGAAAAAAATAACTTGTTTATTAGTATTTGATGTACATCTTGTTTTAACTGCATTTCAGCTTCAAATATGTGTTTACAATTGTGCTAACTCTTTTATGGTGCTTGACTTTTCTTCTATTAATTTTCAGCTATACCTTGATAGGTTCAGATTCAGACAGTAAAGAGTGCCTGTCCAGTGGTCAGTGGAGCCCCAGTACTCCTCAGTGTGTCCCTGTGTCATGTGGCCCAGCTCCAAATATTGACCATGCGTTACCTGAGACTGGCCATCAGTTATATAGAGATGTGGCAATCTACTTCTGCATGGATGGGTACAGCATTGCAGGGAATTCACAGCTGATCTGCAATTCAAAAGGACAATGGGCTCCTCCAGATGGTGTGGCTGCGCCTTACTGTATAGCAATTTTCTGTGACAAGCCACTCTCTGTACCTTATGCTATTTTGGAGTCGATTAATAAAGTGAAATTTGCCGCTGGTTCTCAGGTCAGTTTCAAATGCACGGAAGGCTTTGTGTTAAATACTTCTGCTGTCATTGAGTGTGTCAGAGGTGGCAATTGGACACCATCTCCCTTAAGTATTCAGTGTATTCCCATTCGTTGTGGAGAACCGCCAAACATCGAACGAGGGCACGTGAGCGGAACTAACTACAGCTTTGGAGCAGTGGTGGCGTACACCTGTAACACAGGGTTTTACGTGAAGGACAATAAGAAGAGAACCTGCAAGGCTAATGGAGATTGGAGCGGTCTTCTGCCCAGCTGCCTGCCAGTGACCTGTGGCATCCCTCCAGCGATTCGTAATGGAAATGTACAAGTAAGTGGTGAATAGACTTATACCTCTGTGTTATTTTCATTGATATATTTAATGAATTCACAGAAACCATATGAAATGATCCCTCTCTAATTTCATCCTCAAAATAAAAGTTGATTACAATTTTCAAGTTTTTCTTTATATGGGGTGAAAAATGTGGTACGTGATGTGACACTTGTTATACTGGTAATATTTATCACACTGTGAGACATTCAGTTTCTGGACATGTCCATATCGATGTTTGTGGGGGTAGGAGAGGATGTCAACCAATTAAGTTATCAATTGGCCATCTCTAGGGTTTGAGTACATTGTCACGTGTCATATCACATTTTACAAGCCAACAACATGGAAATTGAAAATATTTCAAAAGGTTGATTGCAGCTCAATAATAACTAAACTAAGCCTTATAGAATAAATATTTTTAAGCGCTCTGAGACACTACCCTGCGTGGAGGGCACTATATATATTATAATATATTTTCTGTAATATATATATATATTTGGAGTCCTGTAGCTCAGTGGTTAGAGCACTCGCTTTGCAAGCGAGAGACCTGAGTTCAATTCCAGACAGGGCGAAACCTTGGGCAAGTTTCCTTACTCCACACGCCTAATAAAAATCCCTCCAAAAAAACAAAACAATAATAAATTGGTCATTTTCAATCTACGACTGTTTGTGGGACACTGCTGTGTGCAATTGACTGCCGCGTTCACCCACAAATATACAGTCAATTCACTTTACAGTATATTCTGTGAAGCGCTTTGGGACGTCTAGAAGACGTGAAAAGCGTTATATCAAGTGCAAGGATTATTATTTATATATATATACGTGCAAGTTGTTGCTACCCTCCACCTTGACCTTCAGCTCGGGTCCATAACTCTGTCTGTCCAGCGCCTTGGGATGTCCTCCCGACGTGAAAGGCGCTATACAAATGTCATTTTGTTGTTATTGTTATTTTATGTCCAGCGGTTGATTTTAGAAGACATTTAGTCTAAACAGAGATGATTTTAAGAGGCTCATTTAAAATGCTTTTTAAAAACTTGGTAATTTTAACAAAACTGCGACAAAACATAATGAAGGTAGATTTTTTTTTGGTTAGCAGGTGACCAACAAATGCGGAAACCCATTACCATGCTTAAGAGTATCCAAAACAAATTGAGAATTTCATGCATCCCACTTTAAGTTCAAAGGTGCCCCCAGCAATGGAACTAACCACTCTGTTAAAGCCTGGGACAAATAGCATGGCCAGAAAAGAGCACCTTGTTCAGTTAAGCTCAAATTTTAAATTGGGAATTCATGATGAACAGGGGAACAAAAGTCACTTGTATTTCATGTTCCACAGCTCATTTGCTTAATAATGCAGAAACACATATAGTTTTTGTATTGGTTCACTAATCAGGGTTACAATAGACAGGTTCCGATCGACAATATTGTGCTGTTATGCTCATGTATAGCAGGTTACGAAAGTGAGAATATCAAAGTCCATAAGCAGCGCTTTCCTTGCTTCTCTTGTTTGGGAATGCTGATGAGGTGGATGTTGAATCTCTTGCAGATGAGTGGCAGCTGTGTTCTGGTATCGTCGACCTTTGTTCTTTTCTTCTTTCTCATTCTGATGTTGCTGGAATACTGGACAGTCGAGTGACTCAAGTCACAGAACCTCGAGTAGAAGTTCTGCCTTCTAGGAGGAGCATAAGATGTAGTCGCTCTCTCACTAACTCGGACTAAACATTCAAACTGAACTGACCACTGAACTGAAGGGCTCAGCTATACTTTTATATAATAGTGTGTTTTTTTTACCTTAGGCTGATAAGTGCACACCTTCACCCACCTGATGACCGCTTAATCAGGTCAGCTTTGGGCCTAGGCTGATAATACAGAACATTTAACAATTAACACAACAAACTACAGCTGCACTAACAATTTCACTTCTATCTTAGATAATTTAACTCTTCAAAGCACAACATTATCTCATAACATTTTGTTCAGAGTTATACCAGCTACCCATAACACCTGTCGCACTTAAATAGAGCTTCTATAACTCATCTTAATTTAATTAGGATTATAATTCTATAGGTGAGTCTGACACAAGCCAACAAGCATTCACATACCTAATTTAACTAAAACAATAATTTAAATAGTAATTCATTTTTGATCACAACAGTCTGGATGCAATTATTATCAGTCCATCATAGTCACCAGAAAAACAAGGTAGCTAGGAGAGATATGAATGCAACTTTTACAGTCTGGGTTTACCAGTGACAGCAGATGTTTTCCCCATCAACACTGACTAAATATTGGTTAACCTGGAAAAAAGCCTGAGAGCAAAATTGTCTGACAATCAGCCATGTTTCACTGGCTCAGCTATTGTTTGTTTTGCTGTCAAATTATCGGAGAAAAAGAAATCTGTTCCAAGGATCCGACCATCTACAAAGCTTACAATATGATTCAGATACTTAGTAAGTTCCAAGCATGTGTGGAATGAAAAGATAGGTAATCCAGAATTTTCTGGTGTAAAAGATCCTGTGACCCATGAAAGTGCTGGTGACCATGTAATATATAAGCAGTATAAGATTCATTTGAATGAATTATTCATTTCTTCTCACTTACAAATGCAAGGGTTATTATTATTATGATGATGATATTTTCTTCTGTCCACAGATCAAGAATGGCACGATCTTTGAAAGTGAAATAAGATATTATTGTAATCATAGCTTTCGACTGGTGGGTATTTCGGTCCGTGTTTGCCAGGCCAATCGGCAATGGTCCATTGAGTCACCTCCATTCTGTGTCCTCGTGAACTGCGGGGCACCTCCAGCTATAAAACATGGATATTTTGAGGGGAGCAACTTTGGCCTTGACGCACGGGTTGAAAGTCATTGTGATGAAGGTTACAAGGTCTTGGGAGATGCGGTTTTGATCTGCCAGGAAAATGGCAGATGGAGTGGAGATCAACCCCCAAAATGCATTCCATTAAAGTGTCCAGAGCCACTTCTGCAGGAAATAAATCTTGTTGTCAAAGAGCTGAGCAGCAATGGTGGAATCATTCAGCTTCAATGTATTGATGGGTATATTTTGGAGGGGCCCTCAATTTTACGGTGCATGTCCATTCAGCAATGGAATGATTCCATACCGACATGTAAAGCTGTACTTTGTGGTCAGCCTCCTGATATACCATTTGCTGATTCTTTAATTTCCACTCTTCACTTCGGTAGTGTTGTGAACTACTCTTGTGTGGATGGATTTGTACCGAAGGAAGAGTCATTCAGGACTTGCCTGGGCGATGGAGCCTGGAGTTTGCCGGAACCAGAGTGTATTCCAGTGGAATGTGCACAGCCTGAATCCATTGAGAATGGAATTGTGGATGTACAAGGTCTTACATATCTCAGCACTGCACTGTACACGTGCAAACCAGGCTCCCACTTGATAGGAAACACAACCGTATTCTGCGGTGAGGATGGCGAATGGATAGGTAGGAAGCCATTCTGCCAGCCAATTGAATGCCCTTCTCCTCCAGACATATTAAGAGGCACAATGACTTTCAGTAGATTGCATTACGGAGATTCAGTCACATACGTGTGTAACCGAGGATTCAAGTTAGAAGGGCAGAAAAGACTGGTGTGCTTAGAGACAGGTCATTGGGACGCAGAGCCTCCTGTTTGCAAAAACATCAAATGCGACCCACCGCAGACCATAGAAAATGGCTTTGTTGAAGGTGCTGATTATAGCTTTGGTGCCCTCATCATTTACAGTTGCTTTCCTGGTTTCCATTTAGTTGGAAATGCAATGCAAACTTGTGAAGAGTCCTACTGGTCCAGCTATCCACCTGTCTGCGTGCCTACAGACTGTGGCCTCCCACCGCACATAGATTTTGGAGGGTACAATAAACTCCACACCCAGGACGGACATTACGACAGTGAAGAACCCGAGAGTCTCACAAGGCCAGTCGATCCAAGGGGAGACTACGACGATGCAAACAGCCTTTTCACGTCACACCTGGGGCCTAAACAGGGAATTCCTTCTTCCATTTCTAAGAATAGGCCAACGCTGGATATTGGTGCAATGGATCTCCTGGAGACATCAGAGTTTTTGTGCGGAGCTATGATTAGTTATTATTGCTACAAAGGTTACGAAACAGTAGGACCCACTGCCCTAATGTGCCAGGAAGATGGTACATGGAACGGAAGTGCCCCAACCTGTATGTTGGTGGAATGCGAACCACCAACTAATCCAGAAAATGGATATGCCAGCTTTACCAGCAATATGCTTGGAAGTACAGTAGAATACAGATGCAATCTTGGCTATAAAATTGTTGGTTCAGCTACCAGACACTGTACTTCTAGTAGTGAATGGAATACACTGGCCCCTGTCTGTCAGCTAATGACATGCAGCACCCCAGAGCAAATAGCAAATGGCACTGTAAAGGGTGATAGCTACACTTACATGAGTGTAATATCTTATGAATGTAACCCTGGATTTGTATTAACTGGCACCGTGTCAAGAACATGTCAAAACAACAAAGAATGGGATGGGGAAGAGCCTCAATGTGCACCTATATCCTGCAGTATACCACAAATTCCTGCCAATGGTAGCATGACTGGGAAAGATTATACATTCCAGAGCCTCATAATGTACAGCTGTGATACTGGATTTATAATACAGGGTGACTTAATCCGTGTTTGCCTTGCTCATGGAAGCTGGAGTGGAGTCGTGCCCGAGTGTAGGCTGGTAACATGCCCACCACCTATTATTGTATCCAATGGGCAAGTCACAGGATCTGAGTTTACATACAGGAAAGAAGTAACATACCATTGTGAGGATGGTTATGTATTACATGGTGCAGCGAGTCTCATGTGTCAGGCAGATGGAGAGTGGAATGCAAGCCCACCAAGCTGTGAACCTCTCGACTGTGGACCCCCAGAAGACATCTCCTTTGGGTTTTTAAATGGATCCAGCTTTAAGTTTGGAGAGTCTGTGAACTACGTCTGCTTTTATGGATATAAACTCACAGGGGATCCAGTGAGGCGCTGCCTTCACAACGGCTCATGGAGTGGAAGTGTTCCAATCTGTGTACCGTGCAAATGTCAACCTCCAGTCATTCGGAATGGATTTACTATCAGCAAAGATTTCAGCTGTGGAAATCTGATATCATTCCATTGCAAAGAGGGATTCAAATTGCTGGGTCCATCGCAGGTTTCTTGTGGAGCTGGCGGGAAGTGGAGTTCGGGTTTTCCAGACTGTGGACGCATCTCCTGTGGTGCACCCCCTGTGATTCCCAATGCTTTCTTTAATGGAAGCAGCTCTTTGTATGACAACGCCATAACCTACAACTGTTTACCTGGCTATACAATGGAAGGAAAAGCAGAGGTATTCTGCACTGAGAGGGGCAAATGGAGTCAGCCGTACCCAGCATGTGTGCCATTGTCCTGCGGCCCACCTCCACCATTACCTAATGCTGTTGTCATAGGAAGCGTTTATACATTTGGAAGTAGAATCCAATACAGGTAGGAACTGAATTAACTTGGATGTACTTTTGAATGTAACTGGCTCTGCGTTTTCATAGCAATCACATTTCCTTTATTTTTTGCACATATTGTACAACCATTTTAATAATAATCTTTGCATTTTGTATAGGGCATAGTTTTAAAATCAAAACTAGTCAGTCCAGAACAGAGATGACAAAGAACTTTGTTTACACACAGAATGGTGGAATTCTCTGCCAGTCAATTGTTGAGCTTCTAGCCATGTGCATATTCAATCAAACAATGTGTAGGGCGGAAAGGAACAGCCTTGGGTCATAATGTGAAGACAGTTGAACCTCCTTATCTTGTGTCACTGTTTTTCTACTATCCTTATCTTGATTTCTGTTACACATTCCACAGATGGGAACTTAGATTGCTGCCCAGGCAACCCTTGACCCCACCTAAGATTGCCTCTTTGACTCCAGGCAAGCCCGGGGGTATGAGCCTGAAGGCCAAGGTTCATGGTAGTTTTCCACTCCTCCTTGTGAGAGAGTCTCAAACTGCTCAGCATCAGGAGCGCTGCAATGCCAATACCAACCAACAGGGCTGAGGGCTAGCTTTCTTGCTCTCAGCTGCATGTATCCTCCATGAATAAATTACATGAAGGCTCAGAAAGGTGGCAGCTACACTGATCTGAGACCTTGAAAAATTTGAGCGCACTGAATAAATTATGGGAAGAATGGAATATTATTGCCTGTTACTAAATTGGGACCTGTCTTAAATCTGTTTTTCTCTTCCCCGCTTCACTTTCTACAGTAATCCGTAATTAACCTCAACTAGGTTTAACTACGATTCCCATCCCTCTTTGGGTCATAATGTGGAGACAGTTGATCCTCCTTATCTTGTGTCACTGTTCTTCCACTGCTGTCCTTATCTTGATTTCTGTTACACATTCCACAGACGGGAACTTAGGTTGCTGCCCACGAAACCCTTGACCCCACCCAAATCTGGGTCCCTAGTCATCAAAATATGATGTGGACCCGACTTGAATCACGACCACCTGGGCAGGTCAGGCGGACGGATTGCCTCTTTGACTCCAGGCAAACGGGGGGGTGTGATTAACTACGATTCCCACCCCTCCTTATATTTTTTAAATGTTTCTGTTTGGGCTTTGGGTCTGTTTGCCCTCTTTATGCAGTTTGAACAGAAAGGATCTTGATATCTTTCTTTTTTCCACATAGAATTGACTTTGCACTCCTGTTAAAATGATCTTAAAAAAAATTGCTTTGTTTTATTTTCCAGTTCCAGGTTCCATTTCATTCTCTCTAGGATTTCTTTTTGTATCAAGTTTCCATTCTTAATACAATTTTATGTAAATCTGGATTGTTTATGGTGCTAGTATTTATTACAAATATTACAAATATCACATTTGATTGTACAGTGTGACCAAAAAGTTGTGATATCTGTTCCTTTGTCTAAAAAAAATTCTCATTGCTTTAAGACTTATTGGACATTGCAAAGCAGTGACATTGGTCACCCTGTACATTGATCACTGGAATACAAGGAGTTTCACTGTGTGTTTAATCTGGATCTGCAGTATCTACAGTAATCTACAGTATCTCCCTGAAATTGGCACATCACACAGGAAGGGAATTTCTGCACTGATTTGTATCAGTGATCTTGTACAACGTGTGCAAAGGTTCTTCTCAAGTTGTATCAGTGACTGACTCAGCAAAATGTGTTGCAGTTAATGTGGTGCTTGTGACAATCTTGTAAGACTGGGGTGTACAAAAGACAAGAAAAGACAAACGTTCTCAAGCGGGGGTGGGACAGGTTTTGTGGTGCTGTGTCCAGAACTACACCTTTTCAGAATTCAGAGTTTAAAAGTACATTGTCCTTCTGAATTTTGATTGCAAACTAGAAACACCAGAGACTAGAGTGCAAGTCAGGCAGGTACTGCATACAGCTCTGGTGCCATAACATGGAAGGGGAGGAGGCAGGTGCCCTTAAGGTAGTGGGGAGGAAAGCAACAACAACAACAACAACAAGATTCCATTTATAAAGCGCCTTTCACGTCAGGAGGACGTCCCAAGGCGCTGCACAGTTGGGTCATGACCCGAGCAGGGGGGAATGGTCAGGGTGAGGGGAGGGAAGAGAGGGAGCGAGGAGGGGAAGCGAGTCGAGAGGGGAGCTGAAGGCACGGTCAAAGAGAAAGGTTTTGAGACCGGCCTTGAAGGAGGAAAGGGAGGAGGCGGCGAAGGCACTGGGGGATAGAGTTCCAGAGCCTCGGGGCTGAGAGGCTGAAGGCCCGACCACCGATGGTAGGGCGGTTGGGGCGGGGGACGTGGAGCAGACCAGAGCCAGAGGAACGGAGGGTACGGGCAGGTAGGTAGGGGGATAGTAGGTTGGAGAGGTAGGAGGGAGCAAGGCCGTGAATGGCCTTGTAGGTGAGGATGAGGATCTTGAAATCAATCCTCTGGGGGATAGGGAGCCAGTTGAGGCGAGCGAGGGTGGGAGTGATGTTGTCCCGAAGCCTGGTGCGGGACAGTACACGAGCTGCAGAGTTCTGAATGACCTGCAGCTTGTGGAGGGAGGTGGCGGGAAGGCCGGCGAGGAGAGAGTTCCCACAGTCCAGCCTTGAGGTGACAAAGGCGTGGACCAGGGTTTCAGCAGCGTGAGGGGTGAGGTAATGCCGTAGTCTGGCGATGTTCCGGAGGTGATGGAAGGCGGTGCCAGTTGTGGTGCGGATGTGAGTGAGAAAGGACAGCTCAGGGTCGAACAAAACGCCGAGGTTCCTGACGGCTTTGAGAGGTGGAGAGTGCAGCCTTGGATGCTGATGGTGTCAGCGCCTGAGGTGCGGAGGCGCTGACGTGAGCCAATCAGGAGGGCCTCGGTTTTTCGCACGTTGAGCTGAAGAAAGTTGTCTCTCGTCCAGGACTTGATGTCGGACAGGCAGGCTGTCAGGACATCGGTGGTCGTGGAGTTGAGAGTAGAGGAGGAAAGGTAGAGTTGGGTGTCATCCGCATACATGTGGAAGTTAACTCCATGTCTGCGGATGATGTCACCGAGGGGGAGCATATAGAGGGTGAAGAGGAGGGGACCGAGGACAGAGCCCTGAGGGACACCACGTGAGACAGTACGGGGGGTGGAGGAGAAGCCATTCGTTGAGACGAAGTGAAGACGGTGGGAAAGGTAAGAGCTAAACCATTCAAGGACAGTGCCTTGAAGGTTGAGGTGGGAGGACAAGCGGTGGAGGAGGATAGCGTGGTCGACCGTATCGAATGCTGCCGATAGGTCGAGGAGGACGAGGAGACAGAGGGAGCCCTGGTCACAGATGGTCAGGATATCATTGGTGACCTTGACCAGGGCAGTTTCTGTGCTATGGGCAGCACGGAAACCTGACTGAAGGGGTTCGAAAGAGAATGGGTGGAAAGGAAAGAGCGCAGTTGGGAGGCGACAACTCTTTCCAAGACCTTGGAGAGAAAGGGGAGGTTGGAGATGGGCCGGTAGCTTGATAGCTGCGACGCATCAAGGGAGGGTTTTTTCAGGGTGGGCGTGATGATGGCAGTTTTTAATGGAATGGGGACAGAGCCAGAGGAGAGGGACAGGTTGACGATGTCACAAGGATGATGTTAGAGGAATGAGCTATGACCTGGGCCAATAGAAAAGTGCGGCCACACTTTTCCCACGGAATCTGCCACAAACGTCATCCTCTGCTACAAACCCACTATAAATATAGTTTCTGGTCCGCGGGCCTCACGGCTGTTTACCTGACGTCACTGTGGGCGAGTGGCTCCGGATGTGCGGTGCAAGCGGCAAATGGGCTTCAGTCGGAAGCTCCACTGTTGTGATTGTCTGTGTCTCTGTATATATGATTGTCTGTGTGTCTTCTGTGTGTGTGTGTGTATGATTGTCTGTGTTTCGGTGCATCATTGTGTGTGTGTGTGTGTGTGTGTATATGATTGTGTGTATTGTGTCTCTCTATATGCATTTGTGAGTATCTGTGTGTGTGTGTGTGTGTGTGTGTGTTTAAGCGTTTTGAGACGCTACCCTGTGTAGAAGGCGCAATATAAGTGCAAGTTGTGTGTGTGTCTCTCTCTCTGTTTTTGAGTGTCTGTGCGAGTATGTCTCTGTCTCCCTCTTCTCTGTGTGTTTGTGGCTGTGCCTGTGTGTCTCTCTTTATGTGTTTGTGAGTGTCTCTATGTTTTTGTGTGTCTCTCTGAGAATGTGGGTCTGTGTGTGTGTCTTTCTCTCTTGGTCTGTGTGTGGTGTTGGGCCCTGATAGCTCCAGTAGCCTCGCTGGGGTCCCCCCTTACCCACTCCCCTCCAAAAAAAAACACCCAGTTTTTGTTAAAGAATCAATTCATATTTTTTTGCAACAATCTAATACGTGTTATTTCCTCATGTTTATGTTTTATCAATAAAGTGAAAGAATGTTGGTCGGCAGGAAAATGTACCTCAATCACACAAATCGACTCCCTGCCATTTTCTGCAATAGTTGTCAAAAATTTCTACGTTTTTAGCCCATGCACGGAATGAATCCCAGGCTTCGTGGTCAGCAGTACCCCTGGCGTTGTGCAGTGTTGGGATATAGAGATTCCCCTATAGTCATTTAGAATAGAACAAGATTTTATATCCATTCTTTTATATGTTTAATTAATTGTATTAACAGGTCAAAATGGCCCCCAAATTAATTGGCATTATAAAAGTGAATTGTACAACCGTTTCTTCTTTTTTTGCAGCTGTTTGGAAGGTTACATAATGGAAACCGAGCAAGATACTTCAACATGTTCACAAGATGGCTCTTGGTCCACTCACAGTGTCTTATGCAAACAACAAACTTGTTCTGTAGCGTTTACCAATGAGACACATGTTGTTGTTTCTGGAACAGAGTTTACTGTCAATGAAAACATTAATATCTCTTGTGAAGAAGGACACAGATTGACAGGAGTGAACGAGTCTACTTGCCAGGTAAGAACTAGCATTGTCTTTGTTTAAAAGTAATTCCATGCTAAAGAAGACATCAAAGCAGCTATAGTGTACTCATGTGTCCAGGGCATATGCTTTTGAAGTCAAGTGTTTCCATTGGGTCTGTCACACAGCAATGCAACTATTTCGGATTTTGGATTTAAGAAGATTACAGTGATTTATACGGCTGAATTATCTCCAAAATGATTCCTATAATTGCTGGGATTTCATAGAATCATAGGATCGTGCAGCACAAAAAGAGGCCATTCAGCCCATCAAGTTTCTGCCGGCTCTTTGAAAAGAGCAATGTAATGTCAATCCCATTCCCCAGCACTTTCCCCATAACCCTGCAAACCCGTCCTCCTCAAATACCCGTCCACCATGTTTTTAAAAGTTGTTATCGAATCGGCCTCGACCACCCTTTCAGGCAATGCGTTCCAGATTCGAACAACTCGCTGCGTGAAAAAAATTCTTCTCACCTCCCCTCTGCTTCTTTTAGAGACTATTTTGAATCTATGACCTCGAGTCACCGACACACCCACCAGTGGAAACAGTTTTTCCCTTTCTAACCTATCAAATCCCCTCATGATTTTGAAGACCTCTATTAGGTCTCCTCATAACCTTCTCTGCTCCAGTGAGAATAATTCCCACCTCTCTAGCCTTTCCTCATAATCAAGGTCCCTCATTCCTGGTACCATCCTCGTAAATCTCCTCTGCACCCTTTCCAATGCCTTAACATCCTTCCTATAGTGTGGTGCCCAAAACTGGGCGCAGTGTTCCAACTGAGGCCTAACCAGTGTTTTATATAGGTTAATCATAACCTCCTGACTCTTGTACTCTATGCCCCTATTAATAAAGCCTAGAATCCCATATGCCCTTTTTAACACTTTATCTACCTGTCCTGCCACCTTCAAGGATTCATTTACCTGAACCCCCAGGTCTCTCTGGTCCTTCACCCTCCTTAAGATTGTATTACGTAGCCTATATTGTCTCCCCTCATTCTTTCTACCAAAATGCATTACCTCACATTTCTCCACATTGAAATTCATCTGCCATGTGTCTGCCCATTTTATCATTCTGTCTATGTCTTCCTGCAGTTGGCTGCTATCCTTCTCACTGTTTTCCACCCTATCTAACTTTGTGTCGTCTACAAAGTTGGAAATGGTGCTTGCTATACCGAAGTCCAGATCATTTATGTATATTAAGAAGAGCAGTGGTCCTAATACCAAGTCCTGAGGGACGCCACTGTACACTTCCCTCCAGTCAGAAAAGCAGCTGTTCACCATATCGCTCTGCTTTCTGTCTCCCAGCCAGTTCTGGATCCATGCTGCCACTGTTCCTTTTACACCATGGGCTTCTATCTTTCTTACAAGTCTTTCATATGGCAATTTGTCAAATGCCTTTTGAAAGTCCATATAAACAACATCAACTGCACTACCTTCATCCACCCTCTCCCTTATCTCATCGAAAAATTCTAATATATTTGTTAGACAAGATTTGCCTTTAACAAATCCATGTTGGCTGCCCCTAATTAATCCATATTCTTCTAAGTGAAGATTTATTCTGTCCCGCATTATAGTCTCCAGGGGTTTCCCCACTACTGATGTTAAACTGACTGGCCTATAGTTCCCAGGTTTGTCCTTCTGTCCCTTTTTGTACAGGGGAGTCACATTGGCCACTCTCCAGTCCTCTGGCACCACTCCTGTGTCCAACGAAGATTGGAAAATTGTAACCAAAGCCTCCGCTATTTGTACCCGTGCCTCCCATAGTAATCTTGGTTGCATCCCGTCAGGACTGGGCAACTTATCTACCTTCAGCCCAGTCAACCTTTTCAGTACTTCCTCTCTGGTTATACTTATCCTATCTATTTCCTCTACCCTCTCCTCCGATACTGCGGCATTTGGTGCATCCACTTCTTTTGTGAAAACAATTCTATGATTCTATGATTCTATGCACTCTGAATCTAATGATATTAAATTTTCCTAAATCTTATGATTTATGAAACGGTTTCAGGGTCTTAGCTGTTACTATTGCAGAGGTAATTAAATCCAGGGAAGTCTTGTTATTATGTGGTCCTCTGGGTCAAATAGCGCAGAAACCATGTTAAAAGCAAAGTGCTGAAAAGGGACGACTTGTGCGATACCCAATAAGTGGCGCTGACCCCACTTCCTTTGTAAATTGATGTCATTGGGGCTTCCCGAGTGGAGCGCTCATGAGTAGAGCACAAAAAGTGACATAAGCAACAGGTACTACGCAGAACCTGCATGCGCACAATGTGCAGGAAATGATAGCAACCGCAACGTGAGAATGTGGGCGTTGGCCATTTTTTAGTGTGGGTAGTTGGGCTGGTCAGTGTTGGAAGCAGGTTAGCAAATTTGTTACCTCGTTTGCCCACAAAACACAGTCACAGCACATTATAGTATATCCCGTGACGCGCTTTGGATCGTAATCCTGACATGACAGGTGCTATACCAAATGTAAGGATAATGATTATCATTAGGACACATCTAATGGACACGATCGCCATAAGCCAGGCAGCGTTATATAGGGGAGAGGCGGAAGGGATGTAACTGGAATCAATTCAGTAACAGAAATAACTAACATATCTGTAACTCACGATATGGGGATATAACTGGGGATAGGCTCTGTGCGCTTATTAGCCCCATTGTTGCTCAGTGCGTTGGCTCTTCATCCCCCTGTTGAATGAAATTCAAGATCCTCGTCCAAACATTCAAATCTCTCCACAGCCGCACTCCAACCTACCTCTGGAACCTCCTGCAACCCAGCTGACCAAGCCGTCCCCTCTACTCAGTGAACTGCTTGATGTTCCCTGCACGATCCGACTCACCATTAGTGGATGAGCTTTTAGCCATTCTGCCTTTGTCCAGGAGTCGCTTTATTTCAGCCACTCTCCCCTCATATTGATGACCTACCTCAACTATGCTTTTGGTCAACCCTCCTCCTCCCCTTTATTGGATAAACACCAATTTCATTTTTTTGTATCGAGGGTGTTTTATCAGGGTTTATTACTTAAAACCAAAAATCAGAAGTCCTAATTATATTACAGTACAGTGCATGCCAAATACATTTTATTGGGGAGTTGTTTGGGTCATTCAGGGGTCTGATATGTGAGGAAACGCATGACTATGCTTAAGAGTATCCAAACCAAACTCCACATATTCTGTAAAAATTCTTGTGTCTGGAAAGCAATGACAAAGTGAGGTTGGCAAGAGCAAAGACTTGGGACCCCAGAGTGTGTGTTGGGGTACTGCTGGAGGTCTAACTAGCTAAAATCACACAGCTTGCTGTTGAAAGCACTGCCTGGAAAGCTTCCAGGACTACCCTACACATTGGGGTTTTGTTTTTCAGGCCTAATGACAGTTGAGTGAGAAGAATTCCTGCCCTCAGTGACTGGTCTCTAAGTTTAAAGTGACCTAATTTATAGTAAACTCCTAATAACTCGACCTCGGCTTAACTTGTCACTGCCACTTAAGTCATCATGCTGGCAATATCTTGGACAGAATTATTTATGTATATTGATTATATATATACACCTAATTCGTCACTCCTAATAACTTGTCACAGCCCTTTTCACTTGGAGTGACAAGTTATTAGGAGTTTATTGCATAGGTGATAGTCTGCCTCCCCCCATCAATTTTCAATCATATTTTGGAACAAGTAATGTAATACGGGGGTGGGGGGGGGTGGGGGGTCATGAGGCCAAGCAGCAAACTTCAAATGCTGGAAAAACATCTGCGAAAATACACTCCTTGTGTAATTTTGGATTAATATTATAGTACGTTAACATTACCCTAATAAAAGTGATAAGATATTTTCCAGATTTTTGGAGAAACTTAGAATATTCTCCATGTGTGTCAATGCATCACATTGTGCCCATCACACTCCCTCTCTAACTTCTGAGTGTGTTTGTTTTAAAGTTATTCAATTATAACCCAACACATTCAAAAGAACCCTTGCCATGTTTATAGCATTGTCACTTCCAGCAAAAGAGCACATGGTGCTGAACGTATAAATGTAACTTTACACAGAAATGAGATAGCCACAGGAGTGCTAAACACAGCACCAATATAGCTAATATTGTTATTTTACTGAGAATTTTTAACATGAGTTGCATTCCAACACTTAGAAGTTTGCAACTTGGTCTCGCCAGCACAACCGCCCACTCCCCCAACCACACACACCATTGATCATTTCTTTGACGTTCACTTTGATCAACAACTTTAAATCCCTTCTCTTCTTGTTCGATGTACATTACTACATTCGTCCAGTGCTTTGACACATTTTTGAAGAAATGTAAATTGGTACAGTTGATTAAACCTCCTTATCTGTTTCAGCTGAACGGATTGTGGCACCCACCGATTTCAGACGCAGTATGCTTCCCTATGTCATGTGAAAAGCCAATTCCGCCAATACATGGATCAGTTAAAGGAAACAGTTATATGTACAAAGGCACTGTGGTGTATCAATGTGATCAGGGTTATGAATTACAGGTAATCATTCCAATCCCTCTCATATCTATACTGTGATCATATTCTGTGTGAAGATGTACTACAGTGTGCATAAGACTTAGATAATTCCTCTGACCCAATGGCCAAGTGGGTAAAGAAACCTTCACCAAATAACACTGACCTGCACAGATTCCATTCCCTGATCTACAGTGATAGATCTCGGCTGGAGCAACAGTTGGGGTGTTAGAACTGGCGAGGCTTGGTGATGGGGCGTGGAGTTCTTGACTGTTCCTGATCTAGGTGCTATATACTGGAAAGGTCATGTGTATTGAAATCGGAGGCTTGAAATTCATTACATTCAAAACCATTGTCTTGGAAATTTTGGAAAATTCGAAGGTACAGTCTTACGTTGGATGCTGGGGATTCAAAATCACTTTTCAAGAATTACAGAAAACACGCTTTCAAAACTTTAAAAAAAGTTAACATTAAATTTATTTATTTTCCAAAAATGTTGCAAAATATTAAATGTTAAGAGAATGGTCTTAGACTAAGATAATGAGAAACTTTAGGGCTTTGGTGAGTCTGACAACATTAGAATTGCAATCGATAATGGCCACTTGGATGGGTTTGTGAGGGTGAATGTTAAGATGTTAAGGAGTGGTGTCCAGTTGAAGAAAAATTGAGTTAAATACCAGGCGGCGGGAAGGAAATCAGACAACAATTTGCTAACTCTTTTTTTGTTACAAAACAGCAGCTACAGCGAGTCAGAAAAAGAATTAAGAGGCAAAGTGTACAATATAATTTGAATTTTGTACAAAAAATGAGGACAAAGATACTTTGGCAAATTTGTCAGTGAATCGTGTAAATTTGCTAATGTATTATAGTCACTCTAGATGCCAGACACAGATTACAGGCTGCTCTGTTCCATACAGTTTTTGGAATTGTTTTTGTTACAGGGAGGTACAGTGAGAGTCTGTGATGCAAACGGAGAGTGGAGTGGAATAGAACCATCCTGCACAAGTAAGTCATGAACATCTGTTGTTACCCAATAGGTCCAGTTACCATACTATAGGTGCAATGCTGCGATTCTTTTCCCATCATATTAATAAACCAAAATGACAACCCAGGTAATTCAGATTGCAAACATTGTCAGCTGGAGGAAAGGTAGATAGCTGCCATGGGAATGTTTAGCATGGATTAAGGCCATTCGGGCACATCAGACTTTGCAGCTTGTTGGTGCTCCTGCTCTATCAGAGTAAGCCTGAAATCCTCACAACAGTGTTTTGGATCAGCTTCAAGCTACGTGAACCATTAGGCTCAAATCATGGGGGGAAGTGGGGGCAATGAATGTTCATACCCTCCTACGAGTTAATAAATTATGTTGAATAATTTGACTGCAGTTTGATGATATGATAAAATCTCAAGTGATGATTGATACATGTACTAAAGTCATCACATCACGCACCTTCACATCACGCACTTCATTATATATTGTACAGAATGATTTTTTTTCTAAAGGAATTAAAGTTAAATTGCGAAGTGTTTGATTCCTTAATAATTTTTAGATGGTTAATCTTTCAATAGCAGTTCTTTTTCAATCATCGCAGGAATCACATGTGGAGCATTTCCCTCTGTGGAGAATGCAGTGTCTACTGGAACGGAAAACTCCTACGGGAGCAATGTCAGCTTTGTTTGCAACTATGGCTATCGTTTAAATGGGCCTCAGAAGATCGCATGCCTTGCTACTGGAAGCTGGAGCAGACCTCTTCCCAGTTGTGAAGGTAACTAAAAGACAATAATTCCCTCAATTTTTTTCTTACACACCCCTGAAGTATAATCCAAGTGAGGAATAGATGGCAGGAAACAAACAGCACTTGTTACAATGCAATATATACAATGCAATATGTACAATGCAATACATAGGTAAAATCTTGTTAGGATTTAATACTGGACTAAAACAAATTATTGACCAAAAAACATACTGGCTAGACTTTATTGGGTGAAAATTATAATGATAATTCTTGGATTTGATATAGCGCTTTGCACATCATCTAGCCACCTCAAAATGCTTCACAGAATATACTGTGAAGTGAATTGACTGTATATTTGTGGGCAAAACGTAGCAGCCAATTGCGCACAGCAGTATCCCACAAACAGTCATGCATTGAATCAGTATGTATAAACACATTCCATTCCTTAGCTATAGATACTTTATTGATGGACCAGTTAATCTAGTTCAAACATGTCCATAGAGCCTGGCTATAAAGACTCGAGAGAGAACATTCCCTCCCCCACCCAATTTACTGGAGAATAATTTTGCCAACGAGTCTTGTCGATTTTTTTTCTGTTGAGTCCTGTATGTGAGTGTAGTATTTCAATATTGCTTCACTAGATAATGGCTTCATTTATCTTATGAAGAAGCACTGAAACGCTCCGGGGTTGGCTAAAACAAGTTAGGCTTGATTAGAAGCATCAAAGGGCTGTGGCAAAGGCTTTAAACTAGTAGACGGGGGGTGGTGGGGGCGGTTGGTATCAGAAGGAAATGATTCAAGCCAGACAAAGGTAAGAAATAAGGAGAATATAAATGGTCAGGGAATTAATATAGAGCAGAAGTGTGGAAAGAATGAGGAACAATTAATACTAATGAATTAAACTGTCGGTACAGCAATGTGCACAGCAGCCGAAATAAAACAGGAGACCTGGAGGCAATAATTCGTAGTGAGGAACCAGATATAATTGGGATTACTGAAACGTGGCTATAAAAAGAACAGGATTGGCAATCACAAATTGCAGGGTGTAATGTATTTAGAAAGAATAGAGATAGGAAAAAGGGTGGTGGAGTTGTTGTATTTGTTAGTGATAATATCATGGCAGTAGAAAAAAGGGACATAGCCAACAGTAAGATAGACGCAACCTTGGCGTCAAGTTCAACCTCCAGTTATCCTTCCTCCCCCACATCCAGTCCTTCACCAGCACTGCTTTCCTCCACCTCTGACGCATCAGCCGTCTCCGCCAATATCTCACTACGAAAGCCGCTGAAACCCTGGTGCATACCTTTGTCACCTTTTGGCTGGACTATTCAAATTCCCTCCTTGCCAGTCTCCCCTCCACTACCATCCATAAAATCCAGATTATTCAAACTCTGTCGTCCGCATTCTCACCCGCACCAAACTCCGCTCCCCGATTACCCCAGTCCTTGCCAGACTGCCTTGGCTGCCTATCCCAGAGAGGATCGACTTCCAAGATCCTCATCCTTGTCTTCAAATCCCTCCATTCCTCTGCACCCCCTACCTCTCTGACCTCTCTCCTCAAAACAGTGCCTGTTGCCTTTGTTCCTCCGGGTCTGGTCTCCTCCTTGTCCCCCGAGTCCTCCGCTCCACCCTTGGCGGCTGTGCCTTCAGCCACTACGCCCCGAGGCTCTGGAACTCCCTTCCTCACTCCCTTCACTTTGAACCTCCTCTCTTCCTATTTTCAGGTCTCTGCTGAAGACCTTTCTTTTCGACCGCGCCTTTGGTCACCTTCCTCCCCCTCGGCCCCAGGATCCTTTACTGTGAAGCGCTCTGAGATCCTGTCTGGCGTGGAGGGCGCTATATAAATCCAAGTTGTTGTAGAAACATAATCTGCACTCTAAGACAGTCCAATGGCATGAAAAGGCATATTTAACCTTCTCTAGATTCTTATATTGTACGTTGTAATCACTCGGGTTAGTCACTGCAATAATACTACATGTACAATCTTTTTTATGTACTTGTGAGTCACAGATTTCTTTTTATGTCACTTTCATAGGTTGAATACCAGTTGGTCTTTACATCAGTATCAAAGTGTTTACAAATTGTCCATTTTGTTAATAATAATAATCCTTGCATTTGATATAGAGCCTTATCATGTCTTCTAGTCGTCCCAAGTAACTAGTACTCTAGGTGTGGCCTGACCAGAGCTAAATCGGATGAGTTCAGATCCCCAGATGTCATGCCTCCACTATGTAGTGCTCTGGTTTTAGCCTCTCCACTCTCACCCTTCGGAACTCCATCCCACGTTCCCCTTTGCCTCGCTTCCTCCTTTGCCTTCTTCAAGACCCTCCTCTTCAACCCTGCCTTCAGCTACCCTCCCTGCCCTCCACCCTCCCTTATCACAATCCTCTGCCCCTCTCCGCCGCTCGGGTCCAAATCCGACTATCCAGTGCCTTGGGCCATTCTCCTGACATTAAATGATTTACCAATGTATTGTATTAATAGGTTATAATATATAATAGTCTATTAAATAAAATATTGAATTGTTTTAATAAATTATTATTAAATATTTGACAGAAACTCTGCTGAGTGTGAGACAGACCATTTGGATCCACTATGTTCCTGTCTCACAGAAACCCATCCCAGCTCCTATGGCAGCCTGTAATACACAGTAACCTCATTATTGTAGATAATAATAATAATAATCCTTGAATTTGATATAGTGCTTTTCACGTCGGGAGGACGTCCCAAAGCGCTTCACAGACCACACTGTAAAGTGAATTGACTGAATTGACATCAAGGGAATCCGCTCCGCGGTCACTTCCCCTCCAACATCCAACCACCACCCACCCCTTCCCTCCCACACTCCAACTCCTACCCATCCTCCCCTACACACCTTTGTACCCGTTTCCCCATCCTCTGTCACCAAACTCATCCTCTCCCTGAAACCTACCACCTGCTCCCTTGACCCCATCCCCACTCCACTCCTTATCTCCCAGCTCCACCTCCTTGCCCCACATATCACAGACATCGTCAACCTGTCCCTCTCCTCTGGCTCTATTCCCATTCCCTTAAAAACTGCCACCATCACTCCCACCTTAAAAAAACCCTCCCTTGGTGCGTCACAGCTATCAAGCTACCGGCCCATCTCCAACCTCCCCTTCCTATCCAAGGTCCTGGAACGAGTTGTCGCCTCCCAGCTGCGCTCTTTCCTCTCCAACCATTCACTATTCGACCCCTTCAGTCGGGTTTCCGTGCTGCCCATAGCACAGAAACTGCCCTGGTCAAGGTCACCAATGACATCCTGACCATCTGTGACCAGGGCTCCCTCTGCCTCCTCGACCTATCGGCAGCATTCGATACGGTCGACCACGCTATCCTCCTCCACCGCTTGTCCTCCCACCTAAACCTTCAAGGCCCTGTCCTTGAGTGGTTTAGGTCGTACCTCTCCCACCGTCTTCACTTTGTCTCCACAAATGGTTTTTCCTCCGGCCCCCGCACTCTCTCGTGCAGTGTCCCTCAAGGCTCTGTCCTCGGTCCCCTCCTCTTCACCCTCTATATGCTCCCCCTTGGTGACATCATCCGCAGACATGGGGTTAACTTCCACATGTATGCGGATGACACCCAACTCTACCTTTCCTCCTCTACCCTCAACTCCACGACCACCGATGTCCTGACAGCTGCCTGTCCGACATCGAGTCCTGGACGAGAGATAACTTTCTCCAGCTCAACGTACGCAAAACTGAGGCCCTCCTGATTGGCTCACGTCAGCGCCTCCGCACCTCTGGCGCTGACAGCATCTGCATCCAAGGCTGCACTCTCCACCTCTCAAAGCCACTCAGGAACCTCGGCGTTTTGTTCGACCCTGAGCTGTCCTTTCTCCCTCACATCCGCACCACAACTGGCACCGCCTTCCATCACCTCCGGAACATCGCCAGACTACGGCACTACCTCACCCCTCACGCTGCTGAAACTCTGGTCCACGTCTTTTTCACCTCAAGGCTGGACTATGGGAACTCTCTCCTCGCCGGCCTTCCCGGCACCTCCCTCCACAAGCTGCAGGTCATTCAGAACTCTGCAGCTCGTGTACTGTCCCGCACCAGGCTTCGGGAACACATCACTCCCACCCTCGCTCGCCTCCACTGGCTCCCCATCCCCCAGAGGATTGATTTCAAGATCCTCATCCTCACCTACAAGGCCATTCACGGCCTTGCTCCCTCCTACCTCTCCGACCTACTATCCCCCTACCTACCTGCCCGTACCTTCCGTTCCACTGGCTCCGGTCTGCTCCGCATCCCCCACCCCAACCGCCCTCCTATCGGTGGCCGGGCCTTCAGCCTCTCAGCCCCTAGGCTCTGGAACTCTATCCCCCAGTGCCTTCGCCGCCTCCTCCCTTTCCTCCTTCAAGGCCGGTCTCAAGACCTTTCTCTTTGACCGTGCCTTCAGCTCCCCTCTCGACTCTCTACCCACTCCTCTCTCCCTCCCTTCCCTCCCCTCACCCTGACCATTTTCCCCCTCCTCGCTCCCTCCCTCCCCTCACCCTGACCATTTCCCCCCTGCTCGGGTCCTGACCCAACTGTACAGCGCCTTGGGACGTCCTCCTGACTTGAAAGGCGCTCAATAAATGGAATCTTTTTGTTGTTGTTGTATATTTGTGGGTGAACGCGGCAGCCAATTGCGCACAGCAATGTCCCACAAACAGTCGTAGATTGAAAAGGACCAATTTATTATTGTTTTGTTTTGGAGGGATTATTATTAGGCGTGTGGAGTAAGGAAACTTGCCCAAGGTTTCACCCTGCCTGGAATTGAACTCAGGTCTCTCACTTGCAAAGCGAGTGCTCTAACCACTGAGCGACAGGACTCCACTTCTCTTTGTCTGATCTGGGAGGTGATGTTGTCAGGAACCTAATCACTTCTAACTCAAGCACTTTATTGCCTGTCCTGACTTTGATTTTCAACAAGTGACACTCCTCAAAGTTAGATCACTATGTGTTAGTTGACTCATTAAGCAGCGGCAAGCAGGATACTTACCAATATTGCCAAATCAGTTAAGTTCAGATTCCCAGTTGTCACAGCTTCTGACTGCAGTGCTCTGCTCAGACTACACCTCGCATATTGTTCCAGTCACCATGACATAATAGGCTGCCTGGTGAGAGGCAATGTAAAACAGAACAATGAGGATGATTGCAAGATCACAAGATTGATTTGAATGAAGAAGGCCCTTAAGCCATCTGATCTCATCCTACCAGAAAGCCCACCCTATTGTCCCCCATCAAGCTGATTTCTAAATGAGGCCAGTAACCTTTGAGTAAAGAAAAACTTCCTGGTGTCTGTCCTGAAATTGCCCTTTACAACTTTAAACTTATGTCCTTTTGTTCTGCTGACTTAGTGCATCCTAAAGTATTGTTCCAGGTTTACTTTTCAACCCCATTTAAAATTTTAGACATCTCTACAAGATTTCCTCTGAGAGCAAAGTTTAAAAAGAAAATAGTCAGACTAAATGGATAGCTTTTTCAGATAAAAGACTCAGCTAGGATGACCCAAACAACCTCTGTCTGTACTTCAACATTGTATGATTCGCTTTTTAACAGCAAATTGAAGGTTTTAGAGGAAATTCAATTTGTTTGGCCATTTGTTGTTGGATATTAAAGCTGTATATTAAATGGTCACATTGTATTCATGTGATTGATTCTCAACATGGTGATTATATCTGACAGGCAAGCATTATAAAAGTTAATTGTGCAATCGATAATGTTTCTTTTCTTTTCTACAGCTGTTTGCTTGTTGTACTGTTCTTGTTCTACTGTCCTGTTGTACCTTATTATTATTACCTTAAGTATTGATCTGGGTTTGCTTTTTCAATCCCATTTAAAATTGTACACACCTCTATAGAGTACACTCTGAATTGTCTTTTGAACCCTAATTACAGAAATGAGCAATGGTGAGATATGTTTGCGGCTTTTCAGGCTTGAAAGGAGATGCCTCATAATTAACCTTTTAGAGGTGTATATGATTTTACATATGATTGATAATGCAAGCCTAGAACAATATTTTCAAATGCACCAAGACAGCAGAACCAAAAGACATATGTTTAAAGTTGCAAATGGCAATTTCAGGACAGATACTTGGATGTGTTTTGCAGAGGGTAATTAATGACTAACAGGAAGTGTGGTTGAGGACAAGACACTGGATACTTGTTTTTTTTAAAAAACAGCTTTGATGTTGTGGTGGGTATTCTGGATGGATTTAATCAAATAGTCTGAAAGGTCTTCTTTATCCAAATCAATTTTGTGATCCATGCAGCATGTGATGTATTTTTGAACATTGCTAATATCTTTGTTTGCCCGATTTAGTGCTTAACACGCTTAAATGTTACTGTTGATGTGTCTAGTTTTTGCAATTTTTTTCATTTTAGAAGTCATATATTTTACAATCATTTGTAATAATGATGCAGCTTATTTTGCTCCAAACATGCCTTTACAGATTTGTGGTACAATTTATTAAAGTAGGTATTGCTCTTTCAGAGATGCTGTGCAGTTCACTATCCTCACCAGAAAATGGACAAGCTATCTATGACTTCCTTAAGGTTGGAGGTGTGGTCAAATTCCATTGCAATGAAGGCTACAGCATCGAGGGCCAGCCTTTTGCCGAATGTTTGGGAAATGGAACGTGGAATCAGCGCACACCGGTCTGCAAACGTATGAATTGTCTAGTGCATGTGTGATAATGAACTTCTTAAAAACAAGTCACATTATTGATCTAGTTGATCTCAACCAGGGAGTGGTGAAATAAATCAGACAGTTTCTGTTCCCAATTACCAGTAGCTTCACTTGACCCACTCGTTGCCTGGGGATGCACATGATCACTGTCACTTGGATGAGCTACAAAAGGTTAACAACACCTGAGCTAGGGGTGGCAGCCTAGAGAGGTGGGATGGGGAAAGGATAAGATGAGCGAAAATGTAGTCGAAGAGTTAGGTCTCAATGTGTTTTGAAAGAGCAGAGGCGAAGGGACTCCAGGAATGGAACTCAAGAGAGATGAGGGCAAAATGCCGATGATGGGGTAGAGGGACAGGAAGTAAGCTGGTGTTTGCTCTGCAAAGGGAATGGCCGGGTCGGGTGGTCGCAGAGGTAGGGTGAGGAGGGGCGCAGGTGAGTGGAATGAAGGATGTAGAGAAGTTTCTCACTGGGGAAACGGGGAGCTTTCTATGAGGAAATTGCACGACATGTCACTCAGTGTCTGTCCTCAGTTACCCCCCACCACCACGGTGACCAAGGGAAGCTCCATCATCTATCCTTACTGTGAACCACAAAACACTCCCCTCACTTCTCGCTCTCTCTGCTCTCTCACTCTTTTTGTTTCTCTCCCTCTCATGCTCTCTTTTTCTCTCAATCTCTCTCTCTCTCTCTCTATCAATCACTCTCTCTACCCCTTCTTTCTCGCACACTCTCTTGCACACTCTCTCTTCCTCTCACACACTCTCACGTAATCTCTCTCACTCCCACCCTATCTCTCCTTTCACAGTCTCTCTTTTGCCTCACATTTTTTCTTCCCTCTCACACTCTCCTCCACTTGATCACTCAACCTCCTCTCTTTCTCACACACACTCTATATCCTCTCATACTTTCTTTGCTCTCTCCCTCCCTCTCTCTGTTTCTTCCTCTCCCTCACATTCTCTTTCTGTCAATCTTCCTCTCTCTCACTAGCACGCTTTCTCACACACACATACTCTTCCCCCTCTCTCACTCTCTGAATCGTTCTCTGCTCTCTCCCTCTCTCAATCACTCCCTTTCCCCTTTCTGTCAACCACTCTCTCCCACCTCTCTCTCACCGACTCTCTCACACAGTCTCTTGCTCTCTCACTCCCCCTTTCTCACCTCTCACACACACGCGCTTTTCTCTAACTCAATCACTTTCTCCTCTCTCTGTTCTGTAACAGGTAAATCACTGTTAAATCATTGCTGAATGAACATTTATGACTCTCTGTGTTCTCTTTAAACAGCAAAACATTGCCCAACTCCTCCTGGCATCCCAGAAGCTGCTGTACTTTCAGATTCAGTTTTCTATGTGGGCCAGAAGGTTACCATTCAATGCCTGGAAGGTTACCAACTGCTTGGTACAACAACCATTACTTGCAACACTGACCAGACATGGACTCCAATCATGATTCAATGTCAAAGTAAGGATAGTGAAGTAATACACAATCTTTCTTAATAGTAAAGCACATTTCACATATGTACACAAAATACGTCTCAATTTCAAGATCCCCACACTCACGTACAGATCACTTCATGTCCTGGGATCTCTTTATACCTCTGACCTGCTTACGCCAATTCCACTTTGTTCAGCTGGCTCCAGCCTTCTGCACTTCCCTCGTTCCCCCCCCGCTCAAAACTCTGGAACACTGTTCCTCAATCCTTGTGCATTGCACCCTCCATGCCTGTCTTCAGATTGCATCAGGGCTCCACTACTGTTATGTACTCCGACACATTGCCCTGCTTGAAGGGAGCAATATATAAATGCAAGTTATTGTCAGTAGAGGAGAAACTTCTAGAGACTGTAATCCGGGACAAAATAAATTTTCACTTTGAAAAATATGGGTTAATAAAGGACAGCCAACATGGATTTGTTAAAGAGTAATCATGTCTAACAAACCTGATGGAGTTTTTTGATGAAGTAATGGTGGATGAAGGTAGTGCAGTTGATGCAGTTTATATAGATTTTCAAAAGGTGTTTGATAGAGTGCCACATAAGAGACTTGTAAGCAAAATAGAAGCTCACGGTATTAAAGGGACAGTGGCAGCATGGATACAGAAGTGGCTGGGAGACAGAAAGCAGAGAGTGGTGGTGAACGGTTGTTTTTCTGACTGGAGGGATGCCTGCAGTTGTGTCCCCCTGGGGTCAGTAATGGGACCACTGCTGTTTTTAATCTCTATAAATGACCTGGACTTGAGAATAGGGAGTACAATTTCCAAGTTTGCAGACGATACTAAGCTAGGAAAAGTAATAAACAGTGAGGAGCATAGTAGCAGACTGCAAATGGACATAGACAAACTGGTAAAATGGGCCGACACGTGGAGATGAAGTTTAATGTGGAGAAATGCGAAGTGATGCATTTTGGGAGGAAGAATGAGGAGAGACAATATACGGAGATGGTACAATCTTAAAGGGGTGAAGGAACAGAGAGACCTGGGGGTCATATAAGTAAACCTTTGAACAGGTAGATAAAGCTGTTAAAAAAGCATATGGGATACTAGGCTTTATAAGGTGTCCTGTAGCTCAGTGGTTATAGCATTCGCCTCACAAGCGAGAGATCTGGGTTCAATTCCCGGCAGAGCGAAACCTTGGGCAAGTTTCCTTACTCCGCATGCCTGATAATAATCCTTTTAAAAAAAATTGGTCACTTCAATCCATAACTGTTTGTGGGACACTGCTGTGTGCAATTGGCTGCCGCGTTTCCCCCATAAATATACAGTCAATTCACTTTTCAGCATATACTATGAAGCGCTTTGAGACGTCTAGAAGATATAAAATGTGCTATATCAGATGCAAGGATTATTATTATAAATAGGGACATAGGATACAAAAGTCAGGAAGTTATGATGAACCTTTATAAAACACTGGTTAGGCCTCAGCGAGAGTACTGTGTTCAGTTCTGGGCAACACACTTTAGGAAGGATGTCAGGCATTGGAGAGGGTGCAAAGGAAATTTACCAGGATGGTACCAGGAATGAGGGACTTCAGTTTTCAGGAGAGGCTAGAGAAGCTAGGATTATTCACCTTGGAGTAGGGAAGGTTAAGAGGAGACTTAATAGGAGTTTTCAAAATATTGAGGGGATTCCATAGGGTAAACAAGGAGAAACTATTTCCACTGGTAGGTGGGTCGATAACCCGAGGAAACTGATTTAAAATAGTTGTTAAAAAAATAGAGGGGAGGAAAGAAGAAATGTTTTCACACAGCGAGTTGCTCAGATCTGGAATGCATTTCCTGAAAGGATGGTGGAAGCCAATTTGATAACAACTTTTAAAAGTGAAGTAGATAATTATTTGGGGAGGACAAGTTTGCAGGGCTATGGGGAGAGGGGGGGAATGGGATTGAATTGGATGGCTCTTTTCAAAGAGCCAGCACAGACACGATGGGCCAAATGGCCTCCTTCTGTGCTGTATAATTCTGATTCTATGATTATATGATTGTTTTTGGACCATTTGGCCCATTATATTTAACCTGGTGTTCTTTGCACTGCCTCATACTTTGAAATTTCTCACTTTGAGTAGTGAGAAAGCCAGAAGCTGTGGTTAAAGGGAACATTATTGATGAATTTAGGAGAAAATTTGATGCTTAAATAAGGGGGAAAGAAATACAACAACAACAACAACACACTGTGTTTATATAGTGCCTTTCACATTGGGAGAATGTCCAAAGGTGCTGATAGAGAGGGAAATAGGAGGGTTGGAGACTTGTGTGAACTATACATTTGATTTGGTCAGCCGGGTGACTTGATACATCCCCATGCTTAAGAGTAGCCAAACCAAGCTGAGATTTCCATGCATCCCACCTACACCTGAAAATTTCAAAGATAGATTGTTGGAATGGAATACACACTTCCTCCCTGGAGGGACACATTACGCTTTACCTCATTCTGGAAAGTATTAGGCTCAGGTTGGGAAGAGCCAAGGACCGGCACGGACTAGTTGGGCTAAATTGCATATTTTGATGCAGTATCAATCACTCAAGTAAGTTGAGAAAAGCTTCAAAACCTTCCCTGGTCATGTTTTTTATAACTCTTATGCTGAATTCAGTCTATCTGCTCTAGCTAAGCCTCTTGCTAGCTCACTAAAGTGGCTGATTTCCAACTTGTTACTTGATGGCATTTTGTAAACCAAGACTTCTCTCTTTGACAGAAATGTCCTGTGGGGTGCCTGCGTATGTAGCAAATGCTTTAGTGCGAGGAGTAAATCACCATAATGGGGACATGATAACATACTCCTGCTACAGCGGATATATGATGGAAGGATCCAGTGCAAGTGTATGTCAGGAGAATGGGACTTGGAGTCCATCACCCAAATGCAAAGGTACTGAAAGATATTGGTAGTGATGGCATTTGTATAATAAAAGCATTACCCACATCCATGACTCAAAGCATCTGATATCACTATTAGGGAGAAACTGCACCTGGGTTTTGATTTACTCTATTTTTGTAGCATTTTAGAGTGTCCAGAATTTGGCAAAGTCTTAATTGCAGACTTCATTTTTAAACCACTTTTCTGTAAGTTTATTTTTTTAGTAACTCAGAACTCAGAGACCTGGAGTAATGGTAAGGCCTTAACTAGCAAAAGTGGTGTTAATTGGGGAGTTAGGAATACATTTACAAATATTCCTCAAACTTCTTACAAATATTACTAATATTTACATTTGGTATGGTGCATTTTCATATTGGGAGGATGTCTCAAAACACTTCACAGGATAGATTGTAAAATATAGTGATTGTGTGTTGTGTGGCCAAACCTGGCAGCCAATTTGCACAAAACAAGGGAACAGTTCGGGAATACCGCAAACTTTGCCCCTACAAAGGAGATCAAAAATAAAAAAGAATTAAAAGTCTGTTTGAGGTAAACATGTGCAAGGAACTTGTACATCCAGTTTGCTGGATCATTTAATTGGACTAATAATGAACAGTTTGCCTGAAGCTGTTCTGTGATCCTTACTGTAAAGTGCAAATACTCATAGAATCATTCCTAGCTCTCAACATGTTAATCATTGCAATACACGAGAATTTTCATGTGTAGATAGGATGCGTGGAGCTCTAAACCAGTGGTAATCAATTTGCACATGTGTCATACATCGACTGACCAAAAAAAAGTATTATTCACTACTTTATGTATCAGGTACATGAAGCCCCAGGAATCCTGGTTTGTAGTAAAACTCTTAGAATCATAGAATGTTACGGCACAGAAGGAGGCCCTTCGGCCCATCGAGTCTGTGCCGGCTCTTTGACAGAGCAACTGACTTTTATTAACTCCACTCACCAGCTTTCTCCCCATAACCGTGCAAACCTGTCTTCTCCAGATACCTATCCAATTCTCTCTTAAAAGCTGTTATCGAATCGGACTTCACTGCCCTTTCGGGCAGATCATTCCAAATTCAAACAACTCGCTGAGTGAAAACATTTCTTCTAACCCCCAGAATATTAACCAGAATGATCTAATAGCTTTTATATGCCAATTGCACTTTATGGTGAACTTGCAGAACAGACATTCGTCCATCATACCTCTGTCGCACTCCGAACAAGCTATTTTGATCCACTGGCCGGCTTTCACCCCAGGAGAGCAGACCACAATAACATTTGATCCAAAACTCCACCATTCACATAATAAACTCTTTACCTCCATCATACCAGTTCCAGCCAGACTCCACTGGCTCCCTATTGCCAAACAGGACAATTTCAAAATCGTCACACTCGTTTTCAAATCTCTTGATGCCCTGGTACCTCCCTATCTCGCCGACCTGCTTACTCCCAAACTGCTGCCTCCGCTCAACTGGCTCCAGCCTCCTGCATATTCCTCGTGCCCTCTGCTCCACCATCGGTGGTTACACTGTCAGCCACTAAGCCCCAAATATCTGGAACAGTCTTCCCCTATCCCTCCACAAATACTCCTTCTTTCCACATCTTCAGATCGCGCCTGAAGACCTTCCTCTTGCCTATGGTAACCTCCCCCCAGCTCGGAGTCGTGCTCTACCACTGTCAAGCGCTCTGGGCACTATCATGCGTAAGGTGCGCTATATAAATGCAAGTTGTTGTTGTAAGTAGGAACCTGCTTGTTAGTCAATTGGCAGATTGCTTTCTGGGGCTAATAATCCCTTGAAAAATAAATAAAATAATAATAATTTGGTCCACGACTGTTGTGTGTAAATTGGCTGCAGCATTTTTTCCACAAAATATACAGTCAATTCATTTTACAGTATACTCTTATGAAGAGCTTTGAGATGTCTCAACAATGTGATAAGGCACTATATCAAATGCAAGGATTATTATTATCAGCCTCATTATATTTTACCAATTTTTTAAAAAATCAGTTACTAAAAATGATCATTAATTTACAACACAATTATATTTATATAGCAACTTTCTCGTCGGGAGGACGTCCCAAGGCGCTGGACAGACAGAGTTATGGACCCGAGCTGAGGGTCAGGGTGGGGTAAGCAGGGAGATCGAAAGCACGGTCGAAGAGGAGGGTCTTGAGGTGGATCTTGAAGGTGACGAGGGAGGGGCGAGGCGGAGGGACTGCGGGATGGAGTTCCAGAGGGTGGGGGCAGAGTGCGGGAAGGCCCGCCCACCAGTAGTGGGGTGAGCAAGGCAGGGGACGTGAAGCAGGCCAGAGACTGCTGAGCGGAAGGAACGAATAGAGTGGAAGGGGGTTAAGAGGTTGGAAAGGTTGGGGGGAACAAGACAGTGGAGGGCTTTGAAGGTGAGGACTAGGATCTTGAACTGTATCCTCTGTGTGATGGGAAGCCAGTTGAGTTTGGGCAAGGTCGGGGGTGATAGGGTCACGGAGCCTCGTGCGGGAGAGGACACGGGCTGCAGAGTTCTGGTTGATCTGCAACCTGTGGAGGGAGGAGTTGGGGAGGCTGACAAGCAGTGAGTTTCCATAGTGAGTTTCCATAATCTCTACAAACACCTCATTTATTTCTGGCTTTCTGTTGATATATTTTAATAATTAATAACCATGATCATTGCATTTGATATAGTGAATTATCACATCTTATCAGCCTTATCTGCTCCTACTCCCTCCCAGAGTCCCTACGAACAGTTGTATGAATTAGAATTCATTGTTTCCCCTGAATAATTGCTGGAGACTAAAAAACTACAAAACCCTGCTGTGATCAGTCTGAGAACAGACTAAGCACAATTACACTGTTATTGGAAATGTGTCATGCAGAGGGATGCAGTTACCTTGTATCTTTGTATTGGGCCTGTTCTGTAGTTAATATACCAAAAAGCACAACGTATAGTTGCTATCAGGAGGCAACAAATATTTGGGAATAATGAGATTATTTTTAAAAAGGCTTCATTTCTGAAAACTGAACCACGCTTGGTTCTTAGCCTTTATTCCATTGTCTTCCAATTTAAGAACAAGCAGAATATTGCAAAATTATTAAATTCAGTCTCAGTTTGGGAGCTTGGGAGCACCGTCTCATGTGGTGTTCTGCGGGGGACCTGTCCTTGGTCCTCTCCTCTTCAACCGGCACATGCTCCCACTTGGTGACATCATCCACAGACATGGGGTCAACTTGTACATGGTATGCGGATGACACCCAACTCTATCTCTGTGCCTCCAACCTTGACTCCAGGACAACTGGTTTCCTGATAGAATGTCTGTCAGACATCAAGTACTGGATGAGAGCTAACTTTCTACAGCTGAACGTCAACAAGACCAAGGCCCTTCTGATAACTCAGGCACTGGCAGCATCACCATCCATAGATGCACACTCCACCTTACTAAGCCATTCCAGAATCTTGGCATCTTGTTTGACCCTCAACTATCTTTTCTACCCTATATCCGTACCATGACTTGCACTTGGGTGCAAATCCCTCACTGTCCAGCGCTTTGGGATGTCCGCCAGATGTGAAAGGCACTATACAAATGTAATTTTGCATTGTATTTCTTTCTGCAATATTTACTGAAAATTGTATGTAAATCCTTGCAGGTACATAACCAAATCAGTTGAGTTTAGGTGCCCAAAGTGCCACATCATTTATCTTGAGAACATTCTGTGGAATCCTGTAGCTCAGTGGTTAGAGCACTTACTTCACAAGTGAGAGACCTGGGTTCAATTCCCAGCACTGGACAGTCGAGGATTTGCACCCAAGCAGAAGCCAGGTCAGGGTAAGGGAGGGTGGAGGGCAGGGTGGGTAGGATGTTGGCGAAGTCACGGTTGAAGAGGAGGGTCTTGAGACGTGCCTTGAAGGAGGTGTGGGAGGAAGTGAGGCAAGGAGCAGGGCGAAATGTTGGGCAAGTTTCCTTACTCCACATGCCTCTGTTTACCTAGCGGAAGTAGGAATCCAGTTGTTAGTCAATGGTGGTTTACTTTTTGGAGGTAATAATTCCTTCAAAAAAAATAACAATTAATTGGTCTTTCTATCCACGGCTGTTTGTGGGACAATTCTGTGTGCAATTGGCTGCCACGTTTGGACCACAAAATATACAGTCAATTCACTTTACAGTATATTCTGTGAAGCACTTTGAGATGGCTCAAAGACGTGATAAGGGCGCTATATCAAATGCAGGGATTATTATTATTATTACTTTGAGACTTACTCGTTAATCGCTTTTGCCGGGTTTCATTTTTCAGCTGTGTGCCGATTTCCCTGTCAGAATAGAGGATCTTGTGAGAGACCAAATACATGCTCTTGTCCAGAAGGATGGAAGGGACGTCTCTGTGAACTCCGTATGTATAAACTGATTTTAGAATTTATCCTTGTATAATGTCAGTATTTCAATTTGTATAATAGGATTAATTGGCCTCCAATACAGAAATGTGATTCCAGCAAAAATGAATCTCAGTTGCACACATGCACACAAAGTTCCCAGATTTAAGTATGCAGCACAACTGTGAACTGGTAACCTGAGACAAGTGTTCTTTAAGCAATGGTTTCTGTAAGGTTATGGAGAAGGAAGAAGAGTGGGGAGAACAAAAGAGAAATAAAGAGAAACAGAGAAAGAAAGAAGGAATAGATGTTTAGACCTGATGACCCAGAGATCAGACATTTATTTTAGTACAGGAATTAGCCAGCACACAGGGAGTGAACTGTTATTGGCACCAGTGTAAGGTTGACCCCACATTTGGCACCAACCACATTGTCCGAATTCACCACTGTCTCACTGCAGGCCGCTGAGACCCTCATCCATGGATTCATCATATCCAGGCTCGACTACACAAACTCCCTGCTTGTCGGCCGGTTCAACTCCTCCCTCCATAGGCTGCAGATCATCAAAAACTCTGCAGCACTAACCTCTCTCACATCAGGCTCCATGAACCCATCACCCCCACTCTCACCGGGCTCCACTGAGTCTCCATGCCTCAGAGGATACAGTTCAAGATCCTGGTCCTCACCTTCAAAGCTCTCAATGGCCTTGCTCCCCCTACCTCTGTGACCTCCTAACCATCTACCAAACTGTCCGCTCGCTCCACTCAGTGGGCTCCAGTCTGCTTCACATCCCTCACCTTGTCCGCCCGACCATTGGTGGGTGGGCCTTCAGCCTCTCTGCCCCCATCCTCTGGAATTCTATCCCACAGTCCCTCTGCCTCGCCCCCTCCTTTGTCTCCTTCAAGACCCGCCTCAAGACCCTCCTCTTCAACTCTGCCTACAGTCTCTACCCTCCCCGCGCTCCACCCCTCCTGATCCCAACCACCTGATCGAGTGCAGATTCCTGACTGTCCAGCGCCTTGGAACGTCCTCCTGATGTAAAAGGCTATACAATTGTAATTTGTTGTTGTTGTAAGATACCAGGAGCAAGATACAAACAGGGCTGCAAGTGGAGGAGGGCGGGGGGAAGAAAGGACAAGTACTAGAAACAGCTTTCAGAAGGGATTCTTTTTGCAAATCCTTGACTAATAATTGTACACACAAGAAATTATGACATTTCTAGTGTACTCTGAAGAAGGAATTTGAAAACAGAAGCTATGAGTTATAGCTTCCTCCTAGCTTCTTACAAATATAAATCTATGCTCTCATTCTGTAAAGCACCATTGCTAAAGGCAGTATTGACAGAGACCTGACAATAGGCTACAAAACCTCTCTCCCAAACAGTTGATACTGATCACGTCACTGAAACAACTCAAAAAAACTTCACAGGATTGTTTTACTATGAAGTCTCTGCGCTTGTACGCAAACATCTGAGTTCATCTCATAGCAACTGTGAGGTGATTAATTCACTGTTGAGTAACATGCACTGCACTTCTCTGTAAACACACAGGTTATTGCTACACTGGCAACAGAGATGAGGAAGGAGTCGCTGCCTTTCAGCCTCCCAGTTATGTGCTGCAATCTTGCATACAGCTTTGTTATTGCAACAGGCTGGGTCTTTACAGAACTCCACTGTGCCTCTATATACATCAGAGAGCATCAGGCCACTCATATTGTTCCCTATTGGAGCATTTGTTTGTACCTGTTCATTGTTAGAGTTCTACTTCTTCCTATTAAAGAGTTGTAACACTGTTCTCTTTGTGTGTACCCGATGTAAAATGTATCAATCTTCTCTTATCCTCAGCAATCTGCATCTTGCCTTGTTTGAACGGAGGCCACTGTGTAGCACCCTATGAGTGCGAATGTCCACAAGGATGGACTGGGTTACGCTGTCATAATGGTAAGATCAATGTCAGGGTTCAGCACATTTGAAACTTCTTCAAAGGAATTAAAAATGTATTCTAAATGCTGCAGGGTTTGTTTTACACTTTCACTGAAGCCAAATAAATTACTGAAGAGCTGGCATTCTGATTTCCCCCCCCCACCCCCCCCCCCCCCCCCCCCCCCCGACCCCATGTAGACTTTATATGTGGCAATTTTGGCCCATCAGTAAGGAACTGTTCATTATTAGAGTTGATGTAGGTGACAGGACATTTGCCTCACCGACCTAATGAGACTTTGCCGGTCAGTGGTATCCACTGACTTGCACCTTTAAACTGGATATTTGAGATTACTGCAAGAACACAACAACATTGCTTTCTGTTAACCCTGCAAGACAAAGCCCTAACAACGAAAACAGCAACTTGCATTGCATCATGCAACGTAGTCTCCCAGAGCGCTTGACAGTGGTAGAGGTGACCATAGACATGGTTGAATAGGAAGGTGTGTCTGCACCCGATGCCAAGCTAAACAAAAGCGATTGTGGGAAGAACAAAGTTCTACGCTTGATGGAATTTAAAGATTAAGTGACCTGATACCAGGAAGCTGTTTGTTTATTTATTGGAGATCTTTGTTCTCTGATTCCACACAATCAAAAACCAGAGGTTAGAGCCTAAAGCACACAAAGATCTCTTTTCAATTCTTGATCAAAGAATAAATCTTGAGAAATAAGTTGGCTTTTCATCCTTAATATATATATATATCAAGTATATCACCACAACTGAGATCTGTCTTCAGAATCAGAATCAATTTGAAATGTGGAGCTGGCAAATCTGGCCCCAAAAGGATTTGGGAAGTGAGAAGTCCAGCTGCACCTGCCTGCCGAGTGAATGAGGTCCAACTGCTTTATAACCAAATTCACACTATTGAAGCGCTTTGGGACGTCCTCCTGACCTGAAAAGCGCTATATCAAATGCAAGGATTATTATTATTATTATAATGTCGAGCATTATAAAGGGGCTGCACTGTATCTACCTAGACATTTACAGAACAGCCTGTCCTAGTTTCATTACCACTGGTGATCAAACCTTCACTCGAACATCTAAAACTCCCTCCCTGTAGCCCTCCATCTCACCCTCTCTATTTGTCTACACGTCCTGCCCTTAAAACATATCTCTTTCAGGATGTCCAAAATTAAGATGCTCCTTCTCCTTTCCGTATAATTTCCCTAGCTAGAAATGTGTTCACTCCGCATTTAGCACCACAAAGCAATGCTTGGTCAAATGTAGCAGTTTGTTTTTTCAAAATGTCCAAATCTTGAAAAATTAAGATAAGGTGGAGGATTAGAAAAATCATTCAGGTTATTCACTAAGCCCTCCCATCATGGTGTTTAACTGTATTGCAAAAAGGCACAATTTTTTTGTATCTTGGCTAGTAGATTATTCCAAAACATGTTTTCACTGTTTGGTATTTGTTCTAAATTTACTTTCACCTACAATTCGACTTTTGTCTTCCAGCATCGCCTTCCTGGCAATATTCAGCTTTCAGATTAGGCTATTTGCATAAATTCGTAAAATGGCTTTTGTAAAATCTAATCAGCAGAAAGGGTTTCTTTAAAAGACCAAATCTCCAAAAAATGCAACGATGTGTAATGCATTTGCCTGCAAAAAGACAGTCACTACACTTCATATTATATCCCGTGAAGCCCTTTGAGAAAAGGCCAAGCTATTCAAGGTAACACATGTCAAAATTCAGTCAACTTGACAGAAATCATGGTCTTGATACAGAACTGAAACATCATGTTTCTGCAAAGTAAAACATAACAGAGCATATGATGCCCTCTTAGGCAGCATTAAAATGTAAATCTTCATCCATGCCTCATGATTTGATCCATTGGTTATACTAAAACAGCATTTTAATTCATCCTTAATAATATTCCTTGCATTTGGTATAGTGCCTTTCATGTCAGGAGGACTTCTCGAAGCACTTACAGGATTTGCTGTAAAGTTTAGTGACTATGTATTTTATTGGCAAATGTGTAGTTTTGAAGTTCATAAGATGCTTCCACTTAATAATTAAAATGCCTTTCCAGAGGTAGGTTCTGGCCCACTTTATTCAGTAGTGGGACAGTTGCTTGATATTTGGCATGTGGATTTACTGAAGATATGTTCAGATAGGTTTGGATGCGTTCATCCATCTGGGTATAACTGCAGCTTAACTGGTGGTAAGCAGCAATTGCCGTTCATCATCAATCTGCTTCAGATGCTTGGAGAGTTCAGGTTGTGTAGAAATGTACAGAATAAGAAATTGCATTTGTTGGTCTCTTTGACTGATACCATGTTTGTCTGCTGTTGTTTAGCTGTGTGCCAGAATACTTGTTTAAACGGTGGCAAATGCATACGACCCAATCGATGTCACTGCATTTCTGGATGGAGCGGCAGTGACTGCTCGCGGTGAGTCTAGGCTTTCATTCATTTTTTAAAATTATAATAATTGTCTGTCAGCGAGAGTGGGAAATGTATAAGTAGTGCAGTTTGTTTTGTGTGAAATTGGTCTTTGCACAAACAAATACCAATTTCACACAAAACAATTATAATAAGTCTTGCATTTGATATCAATTCAAAATGCATCAAAGCGCCTCAGTGTTTCCTGTAAAATTACTGTATAGTAATAGGCAAATGTAACAACAACAAAAAAATATATTTGTATAGTGCCTTTCATGTCAGGAGGACATCCCAAGGCGCTGGATAGTCAAGGACCCGTACCCGAGCTGGTGGTTGGGATCAGGAGGTGTGTAGGGTGGGGAGGGTAGGGGTAGGAGTGTGACTGAAGGCACGGTCAAAGAGGAGGGTCTTCAGAAAGGTCTTGAAGGAGGCAAGGGAGGGGGCGAGGTGAAGGGACTGTGGGATGGTATTCCAGAGGGTTGGGCAGAGAGGCTGAAGGCCTGCCTGCCAATTGCGGGGCGGGCAAGACGGGGGATGTGAAGCAACAACAACAACTTGCACGAATTTAGCATCCTCCATGCACGGTAGCTTTTCAGAGCACTTAAGTGTAGTGGAGCCTGAGTCCAAGCTGGGGGACGGAAGGGCTGTAAGCATGGTCGAAGAAAGAAGGCTTTCAGGTGGCAATTGTAAAAGGGGAGAGAGGGGGTATGGTGGAGGGATTGAGGGAGAGTGTTCCAGAGTTTCAGGGCATAATGGCTGAAAGTGCAACCTCCCATGGTGGGGTGGAGCGTGTGACTGGCACTCGAATGGATGAGGGCATCAGAGGCCTGTGGTGTGAGACAGTGGCGGAGCCGAGCAATGTTGTGGAGGTGGGGAAAGGCGAAGATGGTCATGGCATGGATGTGGGGTATCAAGGACAGTTGAGGGTTGAACAGGACGTTGAGGTTCTGTATTGACTCCGTGAGATGCAGAGTGCATCCATAGAGGAAGATGCTGTCAGTGCCCAAGTTATGGAGGCGCTGACGGGAGCTCTCTTCCAATCACTCTCTGTACTGCCTCATATTTCTTGCTCCAGCTCTCAGAATGTGCCATTTAAACACCTAAAGGCCGCCATGGAGGGTAATCACACCCCATGCCCCGACCCTCTATTACCTCCGGCACTGAATGGCATCACCAACAATGAGGAACTCCCCCAAACTATGAGCTCATCGTCACAGAATAAAGCTTGAACCCACAGCCTTCTAACACAAGGCAAGAGGGCTACCATCTGAGCTAAGCTGACATCTTAACTATCTAAAAAAATTGATAGTTTAGACTAATATTATCCAATCAAATATTCAGACATAAAATTTTAATTCATAGGAACATATAATCTCAATATGGTGCTTGATCCCACGAACATCTGACCTGGATATGAGAGTGCTACCATCTGAGCACCTTTTGTTTTTGCACGTGACGGTAAAAGCGGTTAATGTCTGGGACATTAGGTCCCTTCTAATGTCACTTCTGCTTTGTGCATAGCAAAGCAGGAAGTTATGTTGGAATAGACCTAATGTCCTGGAAGTTTTAGCATGAAAACCCAGCTGGGGCGCGGGAAGTGAGGAGGGACAGCTGCTTCTCATGTGCACTGTGGACAGAGCTCAATGTGCAACTCACGTTATAAGCAAATTTGCCAAAGAGTTAATTACTTTAAAATGGGGCTGTGTTCTCTCAGTGCAATGACATTGGTTTGTGAATGATGCTATTTCAACTTCGGTGGCAGTTGCTGGACACCATCATATAATTAACCCAACCCTTATTTCCTTTTCATCCAGGAGGAGGAAATCAAATCATTATCACCTATTCTAAAACAATGTTACCGAATAAACAGCCACTAATGTATCTCCTTCATCAACCTAACTGCTGGGACAACACAACACTACAATGACATTTAACCGCAACAATACTTCATCATTGTTTCAAATGTGATATATTTTGATACATTTTTGTAAAACAAGCTGTATTTTTTCATATTCGAGAAATAAAAAAAACATATACTGTTGTAAAGTTTTACTGAGCCTTTTGATGATTCACGAAGTTCACAATTTTATATGCTTAGTACTTCAGGGTTTTATCCAGATAACAATAGGGCAGCTGGAGATATGTGTTATTGAAATCAGATTTGTTAGTGAGCAGTTTTTCTTCCATTATTCAAATCCTTAATGTTTTTTGGTCAGTCATGTGTCTGACACATGTGGAAACCTATCCCCATGCTTAAGAGTATCCAAACCAAGCTTGAGAATTCCTTGCATCCCACCTACACATGTTGGAATGGAAAGTACACTCTCTCCCTAAAGGGATGTGTTCTGGATACCTAATTCAGGTAAGTACTAGGTCCAGGATGGCAAACCCCAAGGCTTCGGGACACCAGAGTGTATGTTAGGGTAATGCTGGTCTTTAACCAGCTAAAACTGCATAGCTTACCATTGATATCGCTGTATGGCAAGCTTTCCTGCTGCTTGACAAGCTAGGACCACCCCACCCATTAGAGCTTTGGCTTGCAGGATAACAGGAGCTGAGTGAGATGACTCCCTGCCCCCAGTGACTAGTCTGCCGTTACAAGTCTTGCCGATGAGCCAGGCTGCCTGTGCTGTCATCAGCAGTGTCCTGGAATACAGCAGACAATTATTTATAATTGTGTTTTTTCACACATTTAAGTTGTAATGTATTATCTTCAATTTCAACAAATCAAATTTTCATTTTTGTGAATTCAAATTATATGCAAGTTGTGCTTGTCGATGAGCACTTTAAACAGAAACACAGCCATCCAATGCACACAACAACCCACTGCGACTGATGGGGGGGTGGCCTCCATCACAACTGAAGGACAGTCAATACAACGACACATCAACCAATCCTTTTGTTTTACCATACAATACCAATTTACATCAATGGGCCTTTCACATTAGGAGGATGTCTAAAGGTGCTTTTCTTGTGGAGCGTACTTCTTGCTTCACAACCTTGTGAATTCAGTTTCAAAGGGTCTACTGCTACTTCAGTTTTATCAGGCCGTACATTTTTTTAAGTGTGAGTGAGGTTGCTCCTCACCCCTTGGTTGGAATTACCCTAAATGCTAAAACTTAAAAATGTGAGTAGCCACCCGGTACTGAGTTGTCTCACATCCTTACATTCCCTAATCTGGGCCTCAAAACAATAATAACTACAAGATTACATTTGTATAGCGCCTTTCACGTCGGTAGAATGTCCCAGAGCACAGCATTTCAAACCCGAGCTGGGGTCAGGGTGGGAGAAGGGATGGGAGGGGAAGGGTGGTGACAGATGGCATGGTTCAAGAGGAGGGTTTTGAGGCAGGACTTGAAGGAGACTAAAGAGGGGGTGAGGAGGAGTGATTCAGGGATGGAATTCCAGAGGTTGGGAGCGCTCTGCCTGAAGGCTATCCCGCCAATGGTGGGGCGGGGGAACGTGGAGCAGGCCGGAGCTGGCTGAGCAGAGGGAACGGGCGGGTTAGTAGGAGGAACTTGAACTGGATCCTCTGAAGGTTAGGGAGCCAATGGAATCGGGCGAGAGTGGGGGAGATGGGGTCATGGTATTTGGTGCGGGAGAGGACACGAGGTGCAGAGCTCTGGATTATCTGCAGCCTGTGGAGGGAGGAGTTGGGAAGGCTGACAAGCAGGGCATTTGCATAGTCGAGCCTGAAGGTGATGAAGGCATGAACAAGAGTTTCAGTGGCCTGACTTGTGAGGTAGTAGTGGAGTCAGGCGATGTTACGGAGGTGAGGGAAGGCAGAGAGAGTCATGGCTTGGATGTGGGGAAGAAAAGACAGTTCAGGGAGTTGAGACAGTTGAGACACCGAGGTTCCTGACTGACTTGGTGAGTTGTAGTGAGCAACCATGGAGGTTGATGCTGCCAGAGCCTGAGGTGCTGAGGCGCTGAGGCGCTGGCGTGAGCCAATCAGGAGGGCATCAGTCTTGTTCACATTCAACTGGAGGAAATTTGCTCTCAACCAGGACTTGATGTCCGACAGGCAGTCTGTCAGGACAGCAGTGGTCCTGGTGTTGAAGGTGGAGGCAGAAAGTTGGGTGTCATCCGCATACATGTGAAAGTTGACCCCATGTCTGCAGATGATGTCACCAAGAGGGAGCATATAGATATTAAAGAGGAGAGGGACAAAGACAGAGCCCTGGGGGACGCCAGATGTGATAGTGCGGGGGCTGCAGGAGAAACCATTGGAGGCAACAAAATGGAGATGGTGAGAGAGATAGGAATTGAACCAGGCAAGGGCAGGTCTGCAAAGATAAGTAAAGAGAAGAGGCGGTGTATTAGGAGAGAGTGGTCGACAGTGTTGAAGGCGTCAGAGAGGTCGAGGAGGACAAGGAGGTAGAGGGAGCCCTGATCACAGATGTTCAGAATGTCATTAGTGACTTTGACCAGGGCTGTTTCTGTGCTGTGGGCAGTGCGGTAGCTGAATTGGGTGGCTCCTAGTCCCCACTTGGCCTATCCCTTTACTCCTCTGGAATTTTCCCCTCCTTTGAGCACCTTACCCTTTATCACCCCTTCAAACTTACCATCAAAGCCTCCCCATCTCCTCCCTCCACAGGCTGCAGATTGTCCAGAACTCTGCAGCCCGTGTCCTCTCACACACCAGGCTCCGTGACCCTATCACCCCATTCTTACCCAACTCCACTTGCTTCCCATCACACAGTGGATACAGTTCAAGAGCCTGTTCCTCACCTTTAAAGTCCTCCACGGTCTTGCTCCCCACTACCTCTCCGACTTCCTAAGCCCCTACCATCCTGTTTGCTCCCTCCACTCAGCAGGCTGCGGCCTGCTTCATGTACCCTGCCTCGCTCACCCCACTTTTGGTGGGCGAGCTTTCTGTCACTCTGCCTCCACCCTCTGGAACTCCATCCGCAGTCCCTCCGCCTCTCCCCTCCCTTGACACCTTCAAGACCCATCTCAAGACCTTCCTCTTTGACCATGTTTTCCATCTCCCTGCTTCTTCCCCTGCCCTCCACCCTCCCCAACCCTGACCCCAGCTCGGGTCCGTAACTCTGTCTGTCCAGCGCCTTGTGAACTGTAAAGGCGCTTTACAAATGTAATTCTGTTGTTGTTGTTGATATTAGGTAAACGTGGTGTGTCCCTCCATCAAGAGAGTGAACATACATTTGATATATTGCCAAATCGTATCATCAAAAGATCTCAAAGCACTTCAGAAGATTTTATTGTAAAGTGTAGTGGCAGTGTATTCATGGACAGATGAATTATAGCAATGGGGGTAGGGAATTCTTCCCACTTAGCTTCCATTAACTTTGCTGGGATTATTAGTAACATTTTAATGCAGCATTTTAGTGAGATGGTACATTCAAATTTACAGGAAACCGCACCGGTGTTGGGAATGAATTATAGCAAATGCTGCATGACTAAGCAGTTCAGACGCCCATTTGAAATTTAGTAATGGTGACATTGACTGTAACACTGGAACAAAAGTAGACTGAACAGAAATAGGGAGGGGTACTGCCCGCTAAAAGATTGCAATTGCAAGATAACTGGGAACACCACTGGAAATGTATTCAGACTATTTCAAGCCTTTTTCTGAGACTTTTATTGTAAACAAAACATTCCGGCTTCTCTGCAGTGTACATTTCCAACTGCATCAGCCTATCATAGTCAACTATAACTGGGAACTTCCTTTCAATTCCTCCTCAATTGGTCGCTATTAGTTCTTGCTCTGCCAATATAAATTGCACGGTTGTTGAGCTGAGAGGCTTATTTGAAGAACGTGAAGGAACAATCCAAGCAACGGGACTAAAGCCAACATGCCGTGTAAACATCTCGAAACCCTGGTAAGTAAGCTGAGCCTCAACTTTTCAGCCTCTTCTCTCCCAGCCCTTTTCAGTGTTATTTCAATGAAGTAAACTGCTTTTTCTGTCTTGTGAGTGAAATGCTTATTCGTCCTTACACAGTACTAACACAGCAAAATGCGGGCTTGCTCCTGGTATCCATTTTGCTAGAAACGCTAAAAATCTACGGTAGTTGATACATCTGCACTTAAATTGTAGCACTCCACTTGGCTGATATTTTGCTTATCTTAGCACATAATTGAAATATTTTCTCAAGTAATGCCATTCAACTTTAAATTCAATCTTTGAATTCAATTTTGTGCATTGTAAACCATAGGCACTGGTTATTTGTACATTTAAGTTGAAAGATCCCAAATTCTTAATCCTTTCTAAAGAATTGTTAGCTCAGTTTGTAACTCATGTATTGCTAAAATGCAATGCGTCTCAGACATTTGACTGCTGGTTACTAAATATTCAGTTTTAAAGCTTTTCAAAGCTTTGTGCACTCCCTCTTAACAAATGCTTGCTGGCTCGAGCTGTGGATGTGAAGGATCTTTCTTGAAAAGCTTTGGCTTGTGTCTGCACTATCGATGCATTTCAGGAGCTACTATATTTATATCTATATTTTGGATATTTTATTATATTTATGTTCAATTCCTGGAGGTTGTGGTCCTGCCCTGGTTTAAACTCGGAGAACATATCTCACAGGCCTGAAGTGGAGTTAGCTCTGAAAGTGGCAATGTGTATCTTATTTTTTGCCTGCTGTACAGTATTACTGTACATTTCAAATATGGAGAAGGTCTGCACAGGCCAGCAAATGAAACGGCGAGAAAGAGGAGGCACAAAACCACTTCTGTGTGTATCAGAAATTCAAGGCTAAAATCCTCTTGTTTAAAGGTCTTCTGTTCACTCACCTGGATACCGATGTCAACCTGGCTGGTGCAATTGGGCCTTCTTGCCCACGATGCGAATCATCTTCTAACTTGTAATTCTGCACTAATTATTATTATTATTTTATTTATAGTAAGGGGTTACAAGTTAGGAGATGATTTGCATAGGACTTAGGATGTATTTGGGACCAAGAAAGCATTCCGATTTAGCCATTTATCCAATTTATAAACTACAACTTGTGCAAAGAAATCGAAGTAGTTTTTGATAGGAAACTGAGTGGGGTTCGGGTGCAGGTATGACCTGGATGATTGAACAATTTATAAAGATACATAAGGATTATGCGTGTGTTACTGTATAACCTGCAAAGATTATTATATAATTTTATACCTGCTTTGATACATTGTTCTTATATAAGTAACATAATCCAAGGTGTTACTGTTGTGTGCTGGAGCTAGAATACTGTTGCCTTTTGGAGAGGCTGTTGTGCTGTGATTTCAAAAACAAAAAATAAAGAACATTTCTATAGAACCTTTCATGTCACTCTTGTGCAAGGCTTGTGTCTCCCTGCCCTGGGGACCACATTAGTTCCAGTTTACCCTGTATTTTCAGATCCTGAAGCTGTGAATTCTTAATTGTAGTCGAAGTGGTAGCGCTCTCTTTTCTGAGTCAGTTGTGGGTTCAAGCCCGACATAGAGACTTGGAAACACATAATCTGGGTACTACAATGCTGTGTCAACCACAAGCTCGGGTGCAGATCGCTGACTGTCCAGTGCCTTGTGGCATCCTCTCGACATGAAAGGCGCTACACAAATTTAATTTGTTGTGTTCGGGGTGTGTTGGAGGTGCCATGCTTCTGCCTGTTCAGGTGGATGTTAAAGAACCTGTTGAACTATTTGAAAAGAGAAGTGATTATCTTCTGATTTTCTGCCCAACAATCCCCCAAATAAAATTGGTCACTCACTCTGGGGCTGTTTATGGGACATTTTGCCTTGTGCAACTGGCTGCTGTGTTTCGCCCACACAATACAGTCAATCCACTTTATAGTAAATTTTGCGAAGTACTTTGAGATCTTTCAATGACGTGATAAGGCACTGTATCAAATACAAAGGTATTATTTATTTACTGGACTCCGGGTATCCAGAATTCAAACTTAGACAGACTGGGCCCGAAACAATAAAACAAATTCTGAGGGCCCACGCACATGTAGACTTCTGAGTCCCCCCTCACTTCTCTCCACCCTTTGTAAGCCTATCTGAGATATTTCTGATTGAATATTTCTTGATTTGTGGCATGAATCAAGAAGCTTTATTTTTTTGACCAACCATAAAGGCCGACCGATGTTTGGCTTTTGCTTATGACCATTAGCAGTGACCTGCTGTCAGAGAAACACTGACTGGCTACTCTAATGCAACCCATCATAATGCAGAATCCAATTTTACAAAGTCAAACCCCTTTTATAACAGGGCCCCGACTGGTATAAATGAAAAGGCTCCCAGGCTAGATTGAGTGCGTGATTTATCATTTTGTGTTCGACCTCACAGGGCTAAAGCATCTGCCTATAATTGAAGCCTTTGCAATACTTTGTCGTAGTGAAACCAGAGCTGCACAATACAGGGGATAAAGATAATCGTGCACCGGTTATCCGACGCACGTGTGGGTAGAGCGGCTGCAGATGCGCAGGTGCAGCGCAAGCAGGCAATATGCTTGACTCCACGAGAAGGCGACCTGTCATGATTATCTTTGTGTCTCTGTCTCTATATGTGTGTGTGTCTCTCTGTGTCCGGGTTTGTGTGTGTCTGTCTCTCTCTGTGTTCGGGTGAATGTGTGTGTGTCTGTGTCTCTTTGTGTTCTGGTGAGTGTGTGTGTGTGTGTCTCCCTGTGTCCGGGTGTGTGTGTGTCTGTGTCTCTCTGTGTCCGAGAGTGTGTGTGTCTGTGTCTCTCTGTGTCCGGGTGTGTGTGTATCTGTGTATCTGTGTCTCTCTGTGTCCGAGAGTGTGTGTGTCTGTGTCTCTCTGTGTCCGGGTGTGTGTGTGTGTCTGTGTCTCTCTGTGTCCGGGTATGTGTGTCAGTCTGTGTCTCTGTGTCCGAGTGTGTGTGTCTGTCTCCCTGAGTCCGGGTGTGTGTGTGTGAGTGTGTGTGTGTGTCTTTCTCTCTGTGTCCGGGTGTGTGTATGTGTGTCTGTCTCTCTGTGTCCGGGTGTGTGTGTGTCTGTCTGTCTCTCTGTGTCCGGGTGTGTGTCTGTCTCTCTGTGTCCGAGTGTGTGTGCGTATGTGTGTGTATCTGTCTCTGTGTATCCTGGTGTGTGTGTGTGACTGTCTCTCTGTGTCCTGGTGTGTGCGTGTCTGTCTCCCTGTGTCCGTGTGTGTGTGTGTGTGTCTGTCTCTCTGTGTCCGTGTGTGTGTGTGTGTGTGACTGTCTCTCTGTGTCCGGGTGTGTGTGTATGTGTGTCTGTCTCTCTGTGTCCGAGTGTGTGTGTGTATGTGTGTGTGTCTGTGTCTCTGTATCCTGGTGTGTGTGTGTGACTGTCTCTCTGTGTCCGGGTGTGTGTGTGTGTGTGTGTGTGTCTGACTCTCCTTGTCCGGGTGTGTGTGTCTGTCTCCCTGAGTCCGGGTGTGTGTGTGTGAGTGTGTGTGTGTGTCTGTCTTTCTGTGTCCGAGTGTGTGTGTCTGTCTCCCTGAGTCCGGGTGTGTGTGTGTGAGTGTGTGTGTGTGTCTTTCTCTCTGTGTCCGGGTGTGTGTATGTGTGTCTGTCTCTCTGTGTCCGGGTGTGTGTGTGTCTGTCTGTCTCTCTGTGTCCGGGTGTGTGTCTGTCTCTCTGTGTCCGAGTGTGTGTGCGTATGTGTGTGTATCTGTCTCTGTGTATCCTGGTGTGTGTGTGTGACTGTCTCTCTGTGTCCGGGTGTGTGTGTGTGTGTGTCTGTCTCCCTGTGTCCGTGTGTGTGTGTGTGTGTCTGTCTCTCTGTGTCCGTGTGTGTGTGTGTGTGTGACTGTCTCTCTGTGTCCGGGTGTGTGTGTATGTGTGTCTGTCTCTCTGTGTCCGAGTGTGTGTGTATGTGTGTGTGTCTGTGTCTCTGTATCCTGGTGTGTGTGTGTGACTGTCTCTCTGTGTCCGGGTGTGTGTGTGTGTGTGTGTGTGACTCTCCTTGTCCGGGAGTGTGTGTCTGTCTCCCTGAGTCCGGGTGTGTGTGTGTGAGTGTGTGTGTGTGTGTCTGTCTCTCTGTGTCCGGGTGTGTGTATGTGTGTCTGTCTCTCTGTGTCCGGGTGTGTGTGTGTCTGTCTGTCTCTCTGTGTCCGGGTGTGTGTGTGTCTGTCTGTCTCTCTGTGTCTGGGTGTGTGTGTGTGTGTGTCTGTCTCTTTGTGTCCGGGTGTGTGTGTCTGTCTCTCTGTGTCCGAGTGTGTGTGTATGTGTGTGTATCTGTCTCTCTGTGTCCTGGTGTGTGCGTGTCTGTCTCCCTGTGTCCTGGTGTGTGCGTGTCTGTCTCTCTGTGTCCGTGTGTGTGTGTGTGTGTGTGTGACTGTCTCTCTGTATCCTGGTGTGTGTGTGTGTCTGTTTCTCTCTGTGTCCGGGTGTGTGTGTATCTGTGTCTCTCTGTGTCCGAGAGTGTGTGTGTCTGTGTCTCTCTGTGTCCGGGTGTGTGTGTGTGTCTGTCTCTCTGTGTCCGTGTGTGTGTGTGTGTGTGACTGTCTCTCTGTGTCCGGGTGTGTGTGTGTATGTGTGTGAGTCTGTGTCTCTGTGTCCGGGTGTGTGTGTATGTGTGTCTGTCTCTCTGTGTCCGAGTGTGTGTGTGTATGTGTGTGTATCTGTCTCAGTGTATCCTGGTGTGTGTGTGTGACTGTCTCTCTGTGTCCTGGTGTGTGCGAGTCTGTCTCTCTGTGTCCGTGTGTGTGTGTGTCTGTCTCTCTGTGTCCGTGTGTGTGTGTGTGTGCGTCTGTCTCTCTGTGTCCGTGTGTGTGTGTGTGTGTCTGTGTCTCTCTGTGTCCGGATGTGTGTGTGTCTGTTTCTCTCTGTGTCCGGGTGTGTGTGTATGTGTGTCTGTCTCTCTGTGTCCGAGTGTGTGTGTGTATGTGTGTGTGTCTGTCTCTCTGTGTCCGGGTGTGTGTGTGTGCTGTCTCTCTGTGTCCGTGTGTGTGTGTGTGTGTGTGTGTGTGTGTGTGTGTGTCTGTCTCTCTGTGTCCGGGTGTGTGTTGTGTGTCTGTCTCTCTGTGTCCGTGTGTGTGTGTGTCTGTCTGTCTCTCTGTGTCCGGGTGTGTGTCCGTTTCTCTGTGTCCGTGTATGTGTGTGTGTGTCTGTCTGTCTCTGGGTGTGTGTGTGTCTGTCTCTCTGTGTCCTGGTGTGTGTGTGTCTGTCTCTCTGTGTCCGTGTGTGTGTGTGTGTCTGTCTCTCTGTGTCCGTGTGTGTGTGTGTGTGAGTGTGTGTGTGTGTCTTTCTCTCTGTGTCCGGGTGTGTGTGTGTGTCTGTCTCTCTGTGTCCGGGTGTGTGTGTGTCTGTCTGTCTCTCTGTGTCCGGGTGTGTGTCTGTCTCTCTGTGTCCGTGTGTGTGTTGTATGTGTGTGTGTGTCTGTCTCTCTGTGTCCGGTGTGTGTGTGTGTCTGTCTCTCTGTGTCCGTGTGTGTGTGTGTCTGTCTCTCTGTGTCCGTGTGTGTGTGTGTGTCTGTCTCTCTGTGTCCGTGTGTGTGTGTGTCTGTCTGTCTCTCTGTGTCCGGGTGTGTGTGTGTCTGTCTCTCTCTGTGTCCGGGTGAATGTGTGTGTGTCTGTCTCTCTGTGTCCGGTTGTGTGTCCATTTCTCTGTGTCTGTCTGTCTCTCTGTGTCCGGTTGTGTGTGTGTCTCTCTGTGTCCGAGAGTGTGGTGTCTGTGTCTG